GTCGCTACTCAGGCATCTCTAAAATCCAGCCTTTCCCCACCCCTTCTTTTTTTGACAAGGCTCCTCTAGCCATGTGATTGTAAAAGAAATGGAATTTCTAGAAAGACTTTACCAGTTGTGCGAAAGCTTGCTGGCCAGAATCATTGATGGGCACATGCCCTTGATTTGAGTTTGCATATGGTAATGTTTAGGTTACTGTTGCCACCTGTCCTATATAATGCAGGATTAGGGACGCGGGTGGCGCTGTGGTCTAAACCACCGAGCCTCTTAGGCTTGCCGATCAGAAGGTTGGCGGTTCGAATCCAAGCGATGGAGTGAGCTCCCGTTGCTCTGTCCCAGCTCCTGCCAACCTAGCAGTTCGAAAGCACACCAGTACAAGTAGATAAATAGGTACCGCTGCGGCGGGAAGAGAAATGGCGTTTCCATGCGCTCTTGTTTCTGTCACGGTGTCTTGTTGTGCCAGAAGCAGTTTAGTCATTCTGGACACATGACCCGGAAAGCTGTCTGTGGACAAACGCCGGCTCCCTCGGCCTGAAAGCGAGATGAGCAACCCCATAATTGCCTTTGACTGGACTTAACCGTCCAGGGGTCCTTTGCCTTTTTACGTTTTTTATAATACAGGGTTGTCCCTTATTTCAATGTAAAAGGCTATGTCCTGTACTGAATCAATACAGGACACAGTTCACCCTATTTCTGCTCTCCTGCTTCATGCATGCGGCTCTCACTTCTTTCCTTTTTTTCTCCTCACCCCTTTTCCTTATCCCGACTCCAAAGGGCAAGGCTTTCATGTTTCCCCCTGCAGTTCCCTGCAGTTTCAGGTGGGTTAAGGCAACCATCTGCAGCTGCAGCCTGCGAGCGCCGGGCCCTGTCCCTAGAGAACAACAGGTTCTGAGTCTCTAGAAACAAGCGATTTTGTGTCAGTGTAGCCCAGAAGCCCCAATTTTGAACATAGTCATCTTCACAATATTTGAGAGAGGAGGGTGGGGGAGAAGTAGCTCCCCACAAAGAAAGCTTGACAGCTGAGTGAGAATTTGAACCCGAATCTCCCGGGTCCTAGTCCAACAGTCTAACCATGGCCATAGCTGTCAACCGTCCCTTATTTGGTGGGAAACTCCCTTATCCCAGCGCCGTGTCTCACTGCTGTCTCTTATTGATGATGTCCCTTAAATTTCCCGGGTTTCATGCTCGCCCAGCTCGGGAGGGAAGCAGCGGCTCGGGGTCCTCCGTCGTGAGAGAGAGCACGCGCATGAGCTGCCGCGTCTCTGTCTCTCCCTTCCCCCCCTCAGGGGTGCGTCGTGAGGAGACGGGTGGCGGCGGGTGGCCAGGCAGCCCCTCTCTTGCGAGACTTCCGCCGCTCTCCCAGGGGAAGCCGGAGGCGGTAGCAGCAGCTGAGGAAGCGGCCTGAGGGAGGAGGAAGAGGAGGGGATGGGGAGGGATGCAGAAGGGCAGCGCTTCAGCGGCTGCGGCGGCGCCACAACCACCTCATGCCGCGCTCGACGGCGGCGTGGGCGAAAGTCTCCCTCCCCCCCCTCTCAGGCGGGGAAGAGCCGATGGAACTCCTCGCGCCAGGATGACGGCAGCCCTGATGTGCTGCTTAGCATACCCTCCAACCAGTGCAGCATCTTAATGTAGTGATTTCCCCCTCTGCATCCCTTTCATAACTCTATTTTTATAAATCATTTGTCCACCCAAATTTTTACTACAAGTTTTCTGTCATACCTACCAATGTTTGTAACTCTTTACAATAGCTTTTCAACTAAATTATAAACTTTCCCCATTCTTTATTAAAGAGGTCCTCTTCCTGGTTTAAAATTCTGCCTGTAAGCTTTGCCATCTCGACGCTGTTCATCAGTTTAGTCTGCCCCTCTTCTTTGGTGGGAGTTGTAGACCCTTAGGATCATTTAGTCCAACCCCCTGCAAAACACTGCCAGTGGCAGCAAAAGCAACATGGATCCATCAGTGCCGGATTTCTGTATAAGCTAAGCAAAATCCCTTATTTTGGCTGCTGGTCCCTTATTTTCGAGTCTGCTGGTCCCTTATTTTCAAATCTGTAAGTTGACAGCTATGACCATGGCACATCACTGGTTAAACTCGATGAGACATGAAAGGTGAGTTTGTCTATATGTGGTGGTTGTGTCAGAAAGCCATTACATTTTGGAAACTGATAAGAGAGAGACAATCAGTTAGTTATATCCTAAACTGGATCCCACCTTGCGTTCGTTGGCTGCAGCATGTAAAAATGGCCGCTCCGCTCGATAAACCAGAATCTATTTTGTAACAAACACATTTCGCTCACAAAGACTTGAGGGAAAAAAACAAAACAAAACCAGCAGGACAAAATTAATCCAAAACATCTGAGACCAACTAGAGATTGTGAAATTAACAGCATTAGGAAGATCAATGCAAAAAATATAATTTCATATTAGGAATTGAAATCCAGCAGCAGAATGCATTAATAATAAGTTATGTATCACTGATTTGGATAATAGCTTTATGAATGCATTAGCTTTCTATTGCATATGCTCTTAACTTCCTTGTAATCGTATCTTGTGCTCTTTTTAATATATATTGTATTATTTTGTATTTATATTGGATATGAATATGTAGAATTGTATTACTCTGTGCTGAATGTTTTAAGTGTGGTGTTTGTGTACCTGTGGGTCACAAAGAGTCGGACACGACTAAACAACAACCACCACCACCACAAATAATCCATACTTGCTGATTGCGGGATATATTCAGAAGAAGAAAAAGCTAAGGAGTAAACCCGTCATTGGAGTCCCTAAGACTTGCCTTGTACGCCTCCTTCCGGCAACTCCTGCCCCAAGCTGGAACCAAACGTCTTGCTTTGCTTTCCTTCATCAGCAAGGCTGAGAGGCGGAAGAGTTGTTTTCTGGGCAGCCCAGGACCTGGAGAAGTCACTTTTGTGTTTCCAACACAGCAAAAACAACACAGGAGGCAGCAGTTCCAAGTTACCGGTCTCTGCAGCCACAGCAGGCGCCGTGATTCCCCAGCAGTTTGACTTCGCCCCTGCAGGCGCACTCTATTGGCTCTCGAGACAAGCAGATGCCAACAAAAAACACAACTAAACTTAAATTTTGAAAAAGAAGGCGTCCATCTTTACCCCACTTTGTTACAAGAACCGTATGAAACACATATACCCAATCAGGAATTTTACTTATCTACATATAGATGTATGCACACCAAAAAACACTTTCCATATTCTCTATCCATGTCAGTGGTTACCAGTTTGCTTTCAGGCCAGATACTGGGTGGCTGGTCTCAAATTTAAGCATCAGGCATTGGAAAGTTTTGACCCTCCAGATGTTGTCAGACTCCAATTCTTAACAGACCCAAACAGCAAACAGCCATTCGTTACGGATGATGGCAGCTGGAATCCAACAACATCTGCCGACTCTCTGATTCTCAGGTGTTGGTTGCATTTCAGTAAAATATACCATATTTTCTGCTCTATAAGACTCACTTTTTCCCTCCTAAAAAGTAAGGGGAAATGTGTGTGCGTCTTATGGAGCGAATGCAGGCTGCGCAGCTATCCCAGAAGCCAGAACAGCAAGAGGGATTGCTGCTTTCGCTGCGCAGCGATCCCTCTTGTTGTTCTGGCTTCTGAGATTCAGAATATTGCTTTTCTTGTTTTCCTCCTCCAAAAACTAGGTGCGTCTTGTGGTCTGGTGCGTCTTATAGAGCGAAAAATACGGTACTTCCATATAAATATGTCTCAGAACAAATGTCTGCAGAGGAGGGCAACCAAGATGATCAAGGGTCTGGAAACGAAGCCTTCTGAGGAGTGCTTGAAGGAGCTGGGTGTGTTTAGCCTGGAAAAGAGGAGACTGAGATGATAGCCATCTTCAAATATCTTAAGGGCTGCCACATAGAGGAGGGAAGCATGCTTGTTTTCTCCTCCTCTGGAGGGTAGGACTCGAACCAGTGGCTTCAAGTTGCAAGAAAGGAGATTCCGACTAAACATTCGGAAAAACTTTATGGCAGTAGGAGCTGTTCGGCAGTGGAACAGACTCCCATGAGAGGCGGTGGGCTCTCCTTCCTTGGAGGTTTTTAAACAGAGGTTGGATGGCCATCTGCCATGGATGCTTTAGCCCGGATTGGAGGGGGTTGGACTAGATGACCATTGGGTCCCTTCCAACTCTATGATTCTACGAAATGTGCCCCATTGTCTGTAATTCTGTCTGTCTCACACCCATCTAGCAAGGGAAATTTCTACCTTCAAAGGATGTGAAAGCACATCGGGATGCGAATGCGTCCTCTGGTGCTCATGTGGTACCCACTGACCCTACTAGATGGACCTCAAAGGGATGGCAATATTCATCTTCATCTCGTTGCATGTCAGAAAGCACAGATGGGTTGGCATCGGGTCCAGAGATTGCCTTTCCACAAACAATTTAATAATAATAGTAATTATTATTATTATTTATTTATACCCCGCCCATCTGGCTGAGTCTCCCCAGCCACTCTGGGCAGCTCCCAATCAAATGTTAAAAACAATACAGCATAAAATATTAAAAACTTCCCTAAACAGGGCTGCCTTCAGATGTCTTTTAAAGATAGGATAACTGCTTATTTCCTTCACATCTGAAGGGAGGGTGTTCCACAGGGTGGGCGCCACTACTGAGAAGGCCCTCTGTCTGGTTCCCTGTAACCTCACTTCTCGCAATGAGGGACCTGTCAGAAGGCCCTCGGTGCTGGATCTCAGTGTCTGGGCCGAACGATGGGGGTGGAGACGCTCCTTCGGGTATACTGGACCGAGGCCGTTTAGGGCTTTAAAGGTCAGAACCAACACTTTGAATTGTGCTCAGTATGTGTGTTTGGTATGTGGAAGAACCATACACTACAAAACAGAAAATGTGATGTGGGATGATTCCTCAAATATAAATACAACAGACCCATTTTGTCACACATTTCTTTTTAAAAAATTAGCTTTATTTTCAGAATTCACATATGACAGAAGTTACATAGCCAGTCAAAGGCCTGTGTGTCTGCTGGCACAGAGGTATTTTCACAGACAAAGCTCAAAAGCTCCTTTTTGTTGCAGGTGAGTGTGTCACCCTTGTCAAGAAAGACTAACGCGAGGATTCTTTTGTGACCGTTAAGTTGTGCTCCTGAATATACCTAAGCAGAATCTGTCCTCTCCTGTCGATGGTTTGGAGCCAATTCTTCATTCCTTCACGTCCACCCTGGTTTCCCCAGAATTCCTCATCGACATACAGAGATTGCAAAAGCAGGTTTTGCAAGCATCCTGACTTGAGCACAGTCACAGCTGTCTCAGGAAACCTGACCAAAGAAATTAAAAGTTGTGTTTTTTATAGACAGAATCCCATATTCTAAAGTATTAGTGCATGAAGGCAGCATACGAAGCAATCCAACTTCTGCTCCCTGGGATCTATTTCTTTTCCTCCCGATATTTATTGAAGGATTAATTTCATCCTACCCCAAATCTCCAAATTTCTCTTTATGTCTTTCCAGATATTTATATAATTATCTTTAAATAAGTTAATATTTTTAGCTGTTAGCCATACTCCCAAGTATTCAACTTTTATATATATACATAAGTCGAAAACTTGTTGTAGATCCTTTTTATGTTGCTTTGCCATATTTTTCATCAATATCTTAGTTTTATTTTTATTTAATTTGATTCCTGCTATGTGTCCAAATTCCTGGATCCTCTCCAACACTTTCGGTAAACTGTTCTTAGGATCTTCTACTGTAATCACAAGGTCATCTGCAAAAGCTTTCAATTTATACGTTTTATTTCCTACCATTATTCCTTTTATTGTATCATCTGCTCGTATCTTTTTTGCCAGGGTTTCTAATACTAATATAAATAATAACGGTGACAGGGGACACCCTTACCTTGTCCCCTTCATTATTTTACATTTTTCCGTAATCCTGTTGTTCACAATCAGCATAGCTTGTTGTTCTGAATAAATTGCCTCAATACTTTTACCAAAAGCCTCTCCAAAATTCATCATTTCTATCGTTTTCTTCATAAATGCCCATGAAATATTATCAAAGGCCTTTTCTGCGTCTATAAACATTAAAGCGACTTGTTTCTCATTTCTGACCTCCAGATTATTATTATTTATTAAATAAGAATGGATACTCACTAAACCATCTCCTGCTCAAAAGGAACAGGGCTGTCCTAGTTGTATCATCAATATTTTGGGCACCGTGGGGAGGAAATGTTATTGAGTATATACAGCCCACAGGTAATACTTGCCAATGCCCATCTTACCCGTCTATGCCTTGCAGCAGCCTGAAGTTCAGTTTTGCATCTGGATGGCCCGGTCTGCCTGCGTTGTCAATAAATACTAAGTGTGAAGGCTTGCTCCTCCGGATCTGGAAAAGAAGAATCAACTTGGCAGTAAGAAGAAGAGAAGAGTTTGGATTTGATATCCCGCTTTATCACTACCCGAAGGAGTCTCAAAGTGGCTAACATTCTCCTTTCCCTTCCTCCCCCACAACAAACACTCTGTGAGGTGAGTGAGGCTGAGAGACTTCAGAGAAGTGTGACTAGCCCAAGGTCACCCAGCAGCCGCATGTGGAGGAGCAGAGACGCGAACCCGGTTCACCAGATTACGAATCTACCACTCTTAACCACTACACCACACTGGCTCTCAGGACACAGGTACATGAATGTGAACAGTCTGTTACAGAACATTTTGGGAAATGTTGGCATGTTTGTCCTACACCTCGGTGCTATATGGACATTTTTATGTGTGCAGCAATATCCTCCACAAAGCAATTACTAAATGCGCAGTGGTCCTTAGCAGCAGAAGTCTCTCGCTTCCCCCAAGAGACTTCATACTTCATCTTCTTTCATTCCTATTTTCTTTCATCCAAAATGTTTTAGTAAGAAGCAAGAAGGCATCGCCAGGCTAGTCCACAAATCACCAAGTGTTAGAACAGAAACTCAGTAATGATACAATGGGCAAAGGATATTGGACATAATATACAACTTTTATCATGGGCGAAATTATGGAGGGAGGATTTAAAATTCACAGCATGCTGCACATTGAAAGAAAATTATATGAAAACGATGTATCATTGGTAACTGGCTCCTACTAAACTAGCAAAAATGTATAGAACTGCTACAAATATATGTTGGAAGTGTAAAGAGAAGGAAGGCACATTCTACCACATGTGGTGGACGTGCAAGATGATAAAAGCATGTTGGGAAATGATTTACAATGAGTTGAAAAAAATGTTTGAAATAACTTTTGTGAAAAAACCAGAAGCTTTTCTATTAGGTATTCTAGGTCCAAAAACACCAAAGGAACAGAAAAGACTGTCCATGTACGCGACGACAGCTGTGAGGATGTTATTAGCCCAAAGATGGAAGGAAGATAAAATACCTACAAGAGAAGAATGGCTGATGAAGATGATGGACTATGCTAAAATGGCAAAAATGACCAGGAAGATCAGAGATCAAGAGGATAATAAATTTAATAAAGAATGGCGAAAATTTATAAGTTACTTAAAAGAACACTAGATCCAGGTAGGTAGCCGTGTTGGTCTGATGCAGTCGAAATATATAAAATAATAATAAATTGTCCGGTAGCACCTTAGAGACCAACTAAGTTTGTTCTAGGTATAAGCTTTCGTATCTGAAGAAGTGTGCATGCACACGAAAGCTTATAGCAAGAACAAACTTAGTTGGTCTCTAAGGTGCTACTGGACAATTTTTAAAATCTATTTTAAAAGAACACTGTAAACAATTAAAATCATTGGCAGGGTTTTAAAAAACACTTGCAATGTAACAACAACTATGGTGAGAACTGAGTGTTAAGAAAATATGGAGAACATTATATGATGCAGCTGGAAAAGAATAACTATGGAAACCACGGAGGGGTGAAGGGAAGTCCAGGGATTCAGAGAATCCTTTGTTAGAACAGAAACAAACTCAATTCACAGTGAAGTGGCATACCAAGATATGAACCAAGACCAGCTCGGCAGGATTTTGGCACTTCTCATGGAGCAGTTCCTGAACACAGGGCTCAGAAGGATCTGGCTGGAAGCCACAGCAGTATCGATCCAGGCGGTCGTGGACCTGCAGGAGATGTGAAGGATTCAGAGGCGTAAGAATTCTGTATCTGTAATGTCAGACAGACACCTTTCCTTGTACGGAAGACAAATATTTGCTGGCGGCTGGCGGACAATCTCTAGGTTGTTTGTCCTTGGAGACTGTGTGGTCTACTGGACTGCAGAGTAACCTAGGATCTGGAGCCTAGGATCTGGAGCCTAATCGTAACTGCCCAGATTAGTCACTCATTCAGCCCCACCTATAAAACAAGAATGTCAATGGGAACCAGGCAGAGGGCCTTCTCAGAAGTGGCGCCCACCCTGTGGAAGGCCCTCCCATCAGATGTCAAAGAGATAAACTACTACAGTGGTACCTCGGGTTAAGAACTTAATTCGTTCTGGAGGTCTTTTCTTAACCTGAAACTGTTCTTAACTTGAAGCACCACTTTAGCTAATGAGGCTTCCTGCTGCTGCTGCCGCGCCGCCGCCATGCAATTTCTGTTCTCATCCTGAAGCAAAGTTCTTAACCCGAGTACTATTTCTGGGTTAGCAGAGTCTGTAACCTGAAGCTTCTGTAACCTGAAACGTCTGTAACATGGGGTACTACTGTATCTTGCTTTTAGAAGACATCTGAAGGCAGCCCTGTTTAGGGAAGTTTTTAATGACTGGTGTTTTAACGTATTTTTAATCTTTGTTGGAAGCCGCCCAGAGTGGCTGGAGAAACCAGATGGGCAGGGTATGATGATGATGATAGTACTTTCCGCACTTACAGCCTGATGTTTACATGATTTACTTCAGTGACTGGCCATGGCATAGCATGGGAGGACCGTGGCCCCGGGTGCCCCAGGACAGGATCCCAAATTGAGGTCGAAGCCGCAGGGAGGCAAGCAGCGAATGGGACGAGTCTTTGGGGCTGGGGTGGGGGCACCTCTTCCTCATGGCCAGAGAAGGGATGCTCACGCACAACCTGACCTTGGGCTGGCCAAGAGGGAGGGCGCTGTCGTCGCCCACTGAGGAGGGAGGGGAACTTTCATTCCTCCTCACCACTATGAGCTGAATAAAGAGCATGAAATCCACTCTCGACTCTGACTATATTTCAGACTCCCTTGATTAGATGCTGGCCGGCGAAAGGACTAGCCACTGTCCAGTCCAGCAGGGAAGCGCAACACTTGCCTGGAGCCAGCAACCCACGCTACGACACTGGTGATGGGCACCTCTAGATCAGGGGTCGGCAACCTAAGGCCCATGAGCCACAAGCGGGCCACGGGGGTCATTTAACCAGCACATGAGCCGCCCTCGAACCTAGCCATCCACTCGGCGAGTCCCCGCTCGCTGCGCTAAACCGCCACAGTGCAGCACGGGGACTCACTTCCGTGGCGCCAGAAATTGCATCTGCACAGGCGCAGGCACCAAAAATTGCGTCTGTACAGACGTAGGCACTGGAAATTGTGTCTGCACAGATGCAGGCGCCGGAAATTGTGGACGTGCGCACATGATCTGGCCCACAGAGGGATCTCCACTGGAGTGAACCGGCCCACACGAGATAAACCTTGCTGATCCGTACTCTAGAGGCACGCCAGACTGTGAGAGGTTGGCCTTCCAGGCTTTTTAGAGCATAGCACATCAACCTTTCCCAGGCCTGGTGTCATATATGATGTCTGATGATGGAAGATGTTGGCTAAAAGAAGGAACAAGGAGCACACACTGAAGCCCGTGCTTTGTCAGATGGGCCACTTATTTCAGTCACCCTCCACAGCAACAGAAAAAGGTATCAGATTCCAAAGGTGCCAAGTTTCCGATGCCAAGGAAAACATTGGAGCGAGCTCCCGGTTCTTCCTTTCCCCCCAGGTTGAATTCAAGCCAGGGTTACTGTTATGTACTGAGCTGAATCCTAGAACAATAGGATCCAGAATGCAGCAGTCTGATTGGTCCGCAGGAGCCACCCAATCCAGCTCCAGGTGGAAGTGAATCAGCAACCTGACTGGCCTGCAGCAGCAGCCAATCAGGCTTCTGGAGAAAGTGAATCCGCAACCTGATTGGCCTACAGGAGCAGCCCAGAATTAGCCAATCAGCCACCACCCATTCTGAAAAAGCAATTGTCTGGCAAGGTTGGAGGCTGCTGAACAGGCCAGACCATCTTGGCTGTGAGTCCTGGAAGACCTCATCTGGAGTCTCTGACTGACTCCAACTACAAAAGCGGAGGCTGCTGAAAAGACTCTTGGGCTGGGGGTGTTGTTTTGTGGGTTATGTGGGGTGGAGATCAGGAGCCAACTCCTAGGGGCTGAGGTCCCTTTGGCCCCCAATAAAGTATTTGAGGGTCTCCCCCCTAAAGTTGATGGGCATTGCCATTCAAAGAGTGGGTGGGTACCACTTCTTGCGATTGGGCTGGGCTTTTCTACCACCCCCCAATATTTTACTCAAGTTGGCACCCTAGGGTGGGGGTCGTTGCTGTCGTCGCTCTCCGTTTTCTCCATCCTTATTTCAGATTTTGTTGCGACTCATGCGGAAACGGTTCCGTTTGGTTGCGTATTTTTTAAAAACGCTTCATTTATTATTTGTGACTCCTTTTGCGATGCGGCAGTTCGGTATTTGTTTCATGTTGCAAGCCGCCTCGAGCCTGGTTTGAACTGCATGCTCCAACTTGTGCAGTTTAAGTGAGGCGTTGATTTTTCGGGCGATTTCGTAACATGAGAAAGCACCGTTTGTTCTCTTTTTCACTCTACTGATAAGTCACACCATTTCAGCAGATGGCGCGTTAGTGGAATATCTGAAAGTGTGAGAGTTGGCAGCCGTTTAATGATGGTTCAGATTTCTCGTCTTCTGGGGTTGCCAGGGAAAATACTGATACCTTCCAAAAATTATCCTAGAGCCACCATTACACAGTTGGTGGCATTGAAATTACTGCTCTTGCATCCATCCCTCCATGGTTCTGTATATTGTTCTTAAGGTTGGACAGGATGGGGAGCGGGGGGAAGGTAATATGTATTTTATGGCTCTATAGGGAACATAGGAAGCTGACAACAGAAAGGACTCTAGGTTTTTTTGGGAAAGTACTTTCAAACATTTTCCCAATTCCTTATGTATTTTTTACCTTGGTTTCCACCCCAGCCCCAGTCGAAATGCTGTCTCCCTGTTGCTGGTTGCTCAACAGCGCCTTCCAGTGTCATATTTTAATAACACATTAAAAGGTAAAGGTACCACTGACCTTTAGGTCCAGTTGCGGACAACTCTGGGGTTGTGCGCTCATCTCACTCTACAGGTCGAGGGAGCCGGCGTTTGTCTGCAGACAGCCTCCGGGTCATGTGGCCAACATGACTAAGCCGCTTCTGGTGAACCAGAGCAGCACACGGAAACGCCATTTACCTTCCCGCCGGAGCGGTACCTATTTATCTACTTGCGCTTGATGTGCTTTCGAACTGCAGGAGCAGGGACCGAGCAATGGGAGCTCACCCCGTCGCGGGGATTCGAACCGCCAACCTTCTGATCGGCAAGTCCTAGGCTCTGTGGTTTAACCACAGCGCCACCCGCGTCCCTATAATAACACATTAAGAACATTAGAAATAGGATGTCGTGTGTCCATATATGTTATCAAAACCATTCCTTAACATTAAAAACCAGGAGTGTAAATCTACCCTTGGAGCCAATCTCTCTTACAATGCCTCTGTAAGGTTTTTCTTCTTTAAAGAATAAAACCTTGTTCTCCCTTGCATTCCACACTTCACGCAGCTCTTTATCTCTATAACCCTAGTACCTGCCAAAATAAGTATTAAAATACACACACAAGCCAAGCAAACAAAAAAATGTTTGTACCTGGAAGAAGCAAATATTGAATAAATTTTGCAATGATGCCAAACTCCAGTTGCTGCATATTAACTACCCAGATAGCCTGGCCCATCCCTGTTTACCTCAACAAAACTTGACAGGTTCAATGGGGATTGAGGTCCAAACTAGATGTTAACATAGAAGTTGCATTTAAGAGCATTCCTGGTGTTATGCTTCTGGTTTCTGCACTGGGAAGTCAGGGGGAGATACTTAACTCTTTCCCTTCTGTCTGCTTTTCAGCTCAAAACCTTGCACCCCCTTTCCCAGCCACAAAGTTACAGAGAAAAGCAGAAAGGGATAATTTGGGGCGTGAAAGAAAAATAAGACTATTGGTGTGTTTTGTGCTGCAGTTTTTGGAGGATAAGTTTGTCGAAGCGTGTGTACGCCTGTGCTACACACCTATAGCACAATCTCGTATGGAAACTGGGGCTGTGAGAACTGCCAGATATTTCAAATCAAGTCCTGAAAATAGCATCTGCTTTGTTGTCATTTTAAAAAAATCATCCACAGCACATCTCTCTCTCTCTCTCTCTCTCTCTCTCTCTCTCTCTCTCTCTCTGAGATTTTTCTTGGCAATGAACCCTTATTCCTGTGGAGAGCTGTTCACAGAGCAATCGGAATCATATCAGCGACTCAAGGTGTTAAAAAACCACACATTCAAACCCACAACCAACAGTAATAGTCTGTGCAGTTTAGGATGGATTTCCAACGAGCGCAGCTGGTCTTTGGGGAAACATGTGAAAGAGCCGTATATTAAGAGAGCTGCAAATAATAAGATTATGGGAAAGTCTTGTGCTCACATTTAATAATGGAAAAGCGCTCTCATCTTGGTGGGATTTCTAAACGGCTCTGCAAAGAGTTATTAGGAACACAAGCCAACAGGAGAATACGGCTTGGTTCTCTGCATGAGCGAATCTCTACAGTTCAGTGCACTTAAATCAAAATCTTTGCCCAGCGTGGCATAGGAACATCAGAAGGTGCCTTATACTAAGCCAGGCCAGTGGTTCTTGTTCTTCTTCTTTTTGACAAAGTACTAATCATAAATAAATAAGAATAAAAATGTGCAACCCACCACTGAGACCATTCCATTGTAACTATCCAACCTCCCAAAATTTCAACACCTCTTGTGATGGTTTGACCCCTTTCCATTTTAACAGTACAAATTCTAGAAACACCCTCCATATCTCTTCAAAATTATTTATCCTGCTTATTTCCCATCTTATCTTAATGTCACATGTTAATTTATCATTAATAGCTGTATCCCACACCTCTTTATACCATTCTTCCATTTTACATTCTGCTTGCCCCTTCTACTTCCTTGCTACCATAATTCGTGCAGCTGTCAATAAATTTGTGAGCAAAACAGCCAAGTCAAGGCAACCAATATTGGTGGACTTAAAGATGTTCAGTTGTCACAAATTGATTCTAAAGACATGCAATGCATATTTTAAGTGATTTGGAGTGTTGGTATGGAAGCATCAAGCAGTGTTCTCATAGAAAATTGACGCGTGATATTCCAAGTCTTAAAATGAATTTTAAAGCAGAGTGTACAAAACATGTGAATGAATTTACGGCTGTACAGTGGGTTGCGAATGTGCAGGTTTGCAACCTGCGTCTGTGTGTCTGCGCACACGCGGGTTGCGATTCAGCGCTTCTGCGCATGCGCAACCGCCGAAACCCAGAAGTAACCCATTCCACTACTTCTGAGTTTCGGTGGTCCGTAACCTGAAAAAATGCAACCTGAAGTGTCTGTAACCCGAGGTATGACAGTACTCATAAGGAGCACCATTCGGCCTCTTATCATGACTTGGCAGTTGCACTGTTCAGGAAAAGGAAGGAAGGAAGGAAGGAAGGTAGGTTGCTCCACCACAAGGTTTACCTGCAGGAGAAAGTCAAAAAGGGCCAGCTTGGCCCATTCCGAATGCAGGACGGTCAAACATCGTCCCTTCCCAAGAGTTGTTCTGGAATCTTCCATGCCACACCGTTGCCTCAGCAACTCCTGGTACTGCTGCCACCCTAGAGCAAAGGAGTTCTGGTCATTCCCGGGATCATTCAGATGTTGTATGTCGGGGGCCCACCATACGATGGGTCTGGCGGCACCGTCGGTGTATTTGTAAGGGAGCAGGGGACTGACAAACTTCCTGGCCACCACAGGCAGGCTCCGGTGGAGCCCCAAGACTCTGTCCAAGTGGAAAGCTAGAACCTCATAGAGGTCAGTGGGCCTTTTGATTACTCCACACAGCCCCTCAGAACAGAGTCTTTTGGCGTCGTGGGAAATTGCGTCTTGGCTGGGCGAAAGGACAACCCGGAGTATTTGCCCATGGGCAGGGATTCGGTGTTTGCTCACAACCGTGCCATTGGCAAGGAGTTTCATCTTCTCCACATCGTCCGGCGTAAACCACGGAAGGGCGTTTTCGCCCAACCTCAGACTGCCTTCTGGTCTTCCAGAAACGCCGTTGGGTTGGGGATCCTTGCACCACTGTGATTTCTGCAGCTCCTCTGCGTCTCTGACCCAAAACGAAGATGGTTCTGGGTTCTGAGAGTGAGAGTTTTCCATCGGTCCCCCAATGCCTGCCGTGCCGCGGAACGACTTTCCGCCTGAGGTGATGGCTTTCATGACACCTGAGCGTTGATGTTTGGCGCCAGCTGTCTGCACATTGGCCTTACATTGTTCCTGAGGAGAAGTCCGCGGGCCTGTGGATGCATTCTTGAGATATAAAAGAGCTCCAGGCTCCACATCTCGGAAAGGATGAGAGGATGGGGCCGACTCCCTCTGCGGTTTCTGACCCGCCATTTTCTTTGTGCTCAGATCTTCGCTGGCAAAAATGGCATCAAACTTTCTCATGTTTTTCTGGCCAGTCCTGAAGGGATAGGCTTGACGCCGGATTTCTCTGCTGCATTCGGAGCTTTTTGCTGCGACATTATGTTTCTTAACCTGCCCCTTTGATTTTAAACCCCTAAGATTTCGCCCTCCCTGGCTCTTCTGCTTGCGGGCTGAGCTGGGGTTTGGCAGAGTTTGTCTTCCCTGATGGCTGGGCCATTCCCGGCGGCTTTGACGCCAAGCCTGCCAGGCAATGGGAACCGTAGAGGATGCCCACAAATGCTTGGGACGGGCAGCTTTCCCTCGAGGCTCATTCCCAGGCAGGTATTGGAAATTGGACTTCTTGTAGCTGTTCAGGGATGTCGAAGAGAAACTAGTAAGAGCCACCACAGACAAGGCGAGCAAGGCGCAGAAACCAGTCACAGGAGATTTCTTTAGCCTCATTCGATACCATGTTCTCGGGGCCTGTGGAATTTGAATAAGAAAAAGAGTGATTTTTCATAATATAGACATGGAAGCATGGGGACGACTGCGGAAAAGGGGTATAAAATTTACAGCTTGCTATGGTTTAAGAGAAAATTATAGTCGTGCCTTGGATCCCGAATGCCTTGGTGCTCGGACGTTTTGGCTCCTGAACGCGGCAAACCCGGAAGTGAGTGTTCCGGTTTGCGAATGTTATTCGGAACCCAAACATCCGATGCAGCTTCTGCAGCTTCTGATTGGCTGCAGGAGCTTCCTCACTTAGATGAATAGATGGAAGCAGGGATCTAAGGAGAATGATTCTCGCTTCATATTTCTGTACAAGTGTGGAGATGTATCCTCCAACATTTCTCTGGTGAAAATAATAATAATAATAACAATAATAATAACAGGTAAAAAGGTAAAGGACCCCTGGACTGTTAAGTCCAGCCAAAGGCGACTATGGGGTTGTACTGTGACGGAAACCAGAGCACATGGAAACACCATTTACCTTCCTACCTACCTACTTATCTACTTGCACTGGTGTGCTTTCGAACTGCTAGGTTGGCAGGGGCTGGGACAGAGCAACGTCACCCCGTCGCAGGGATTTGAACCGCTGACCTTCTGATCAGCAAGCCCAAGAGGCTCAGTGGTTCAGACCACAGCAACACCCGTGTCAATAATAATAATAATAATAATAATAATAATAATAATAATGGAAACTGTGAGAAGGTTCTGAATTCTGATAGCACAGAACTGGAAGACTGGAGAAATACCATCAAAGGAACAGTGGGAAGAGAAACTGATGAACTATGCAGAGTTGGCAAAGTTAACAGATAAAACTGTGCAAAAAGACAATAGTGACTTTGAAAAAGAATGGGAACTTTTTACATCATATTTGCAGAAACAACAAAAAAAATAGAGTCATTGGCAGGATTTAAATAAACATTTGCAATTGTATTTATAAAAAACAAGAAACCTAATAGTATGACAATATAGAAGTATGTATAAACAGCAGGATGTAATATGAGATGTAATAAACCAGGGATGGAAGTTGAGGGAAGTCAGAAGGGAAGGGGGAAATTTGAATGTAATGTAATGACTATAGATATTGAGGGTTTTTTAAAAAAAAAAAAAACACAACCCAATAAAAGTGATTTTAAAAAGAAAGAAAAGAAATGACACCTACAGGACATGTGCTATGAGCAGTTTCCAAAGAAAGAAAGAAAGAAAGAAAGAAAGAAAGAAAGAAAGAAAGAAAGAAAGAAAGAAAAGAAACTGTGAGAAGGATCAGGAACATACCAGAGAGTAAATTCTATTGAACTCAGTGTGACTTAGTTCTGAGTAAAACTGCTTAGGATTGCAGTGTAAGGCTGCACAATCTTTACCCAGTTACCTGGGAGTAAGCTCCATTGAATACAGTGGTACCTCGGGTTACATACGCTTCAGGTTACATATGCTTCAGGTTACAGACTCCACTAACCCAGAAATAGTACCTCGGGGTCAGCGGCGTAGCGTGGGTTGTCAGCACCCGGGGCAAGGCAAGTAATTTGCGCCCCCTAACCCGGGGCAAGGCAAGTAATTTGCGCCCCCTAACCCGGGGCAAGGCAAGTAATTTGCGCCCCCTAACCCCTAACCTGCCGCCGCTGCCAGCTTCTTCTTGCTGCTGCCTGGTCTGGTCTGGTGTGGTTCTCTCCCGCGCTGCGCTGGGCGGCCGCTGCACTGTCCCTCCCCCAGATAGTCTCTCGCTCTCTCTCCGCACCGCACGCCTGGCACCTACCCCCTCCACAGTGGGCGGCAACCCAGCGGCTCGGATCGGATTCGCACAGCCAGCACTGCAGTGAGAGAGAGTGAGTGAGCCAGGTAGGGGCAGAGAGCTGCGAGTGTGAGCGCCCCCCCCCGATGTTGCGCCCGGTGCGGCTGGCCCCCCCCTGCACCCCCCACGCTACGCCACTGCTCGGGGTTAAGAACTTTGCTTCAGGATGAGAACAGAAATTGTGCTCTGGAGGTGCAGCAGGAGGAAGAGGCCCCATTAGCTAAAGTGCTTCAGGTTAAGAACAGTTTCAGGTTAAGAATGGATCTCCAAAACGAATTGAGTACTTAACCTGAGGTACCACTGTACAGTGGGACTTATGTCTCAGTAGACAGCGTGAGGCTCCATTTACAATAAAGGAATAAACACTCAATGTGTTTCCTAAGAAATAGCTGGCTGCCGAAGCGTTGCGACTAAAGAATTTAAAGCGGATTGGTGACTTTTTCCTTCAAAATGTGGGGACCTGCAATTCATACCAGCTTGTGTCTCCAGAGTAGTTTCTCATGGCAATCAGCACATCTGTTCCGCTGTGACTATTCTTCGACTGTAACTTGCTTCTCGTTCCTTTGGGTGCCGGTTTGTGGGGGCATAATGCTAGAAAGGCAGGTTAAAATAAATGAAAATTACAAACAGGCTCACTTCCATTCTGGGGGCAAGCCGGATTAAAGTCGGTGGGGCAAGGCCCTGGATAGTAGTCATTCTGGAAGACTCGTGGAACGCAGTGGCACCGCAAAGCAGATTTTTATGTGGTGTTGCAGCCATACTTAAAGCCCATCTTTTGAGCGTGCACCTTGTTACCGGAACGTGCACAGTAGCCTCTTGCACAAGAGATAATCACTGGCATCCTGGCTGTTAAGTTGTGGCGACACAGCGATTCTTCAAACAGCTCTTGTTTATTCACAGGCCAGAACAGAACTGAACTGAAGGGTTCAGCCAGCCTGCTTATATAGAGCTCCACTACAACGCAACAGTAACCACTTTCTGTAACTATCCAATCACGGAACGTCACTTTGCATATGTGGAAGTGTGTGAAAACTATCTACAGTATCCCCCTGCTGGCCCAGGGTGAGAACTTCAGTACATGACACTGGCAAATGGGTGCCATGGACAATAGCAGACCATCCAAGAATGGATTGTGCTCTCTGTCAGGACAACGAAGTGTGATTACCTGACTGGGAAAACCAGGAATTTGTAAATATTTCCATTGATGGGTGTTATGTATTCAGTGGTCTGTGTTTGCCTGAGCTTGAGTCTGGACTAAGGATTCTGAGATCCTGTGTTCTGATTTGATACATGATGTCCAATCACAGAGCATTTCAGGATTTGGGCCTCTGCCATTGGCCCTTAGACTCTGAGTCGTGATTTGCAGCTTAGAAGTTTAGACAGCCAATCGCGTTGGGAGTGGGAGTGGCCCAGGCTTTCAGGAATGTATATAAGCAGTTGCTTTGCCCGTTTCCCAGTTATGTAGTTCGATATAGGTTCTTGCTGTCATCACTGTGTCTTGCCTTGTGGAAACCCACCTACACTTCAATGGGTGTGAGGTGGAGGGCAAGGGATAGATGGGGGCAAACCTGATTAGCCGGTTTCTGCCAGAAAAAACCCCTCCCTGTTTGTGACATATCTATGATGCTTACTAAGGGTGTTGTGGGTAAAAGGGAAAACTCATAAAAGTAAGAGCATCCTTTTGTTCTGGGCTTCTTCCTGGTTCTTTCATATGGTGGGTAGAAGTCCTGTTGCAACAGTCTTTTGAATAAAGATCAGGCCTATAGGCTGCTGTTTTGCTCCTATATTCTTGGCTGGTGTCTTTGTTTGGCAATCCAAGTGAGTCCAAGGATTTTCCTGTAACACCTTTAAGCAGACACCACGGCAAGGCTCCAGGAACTGAGCCATCGCAAGCAAACAAACTCCCAGCCTCATTCTTGCGCCTCACAAAGCTTCTCGTGGGCTCCCCAGCCTCCTGGCTGAAAGACTGGATAGAATTTTCTGCCAAAAAAACTCCTAAGCAGTATAATAGCCGAGCAAAGGGACATGACAGAAGTCTCTGCATTGAACCTGAATAAAATGAAAGCAAAGCATCCACATTGGGGGACTCTGACTCCAGCAACGCTACCTGAACGAACTCCAAATGAGGCTCCCTGCCTTTTCTCCATCTGTACCTCTTCCTCCACAAAGTCCCTTCCTTATTATTATAATAATACATTCTATCCAGGACCTTTGCTGCAAGCTTGGTCTCGCATCGCGGAAAACAGAACCAACATAAATTGTGAGGAGATGCCAGAAATCTGTTATTAATTTCCTTGTCTGCTCCTGCTCCGATCTCTTCAGAGGCAGCGAACATCCTCTTCTTGATGCATTCCAGCGCCTGCCTCTTTCTCTCTCTCTCCCCCTTCCAAATACAGTGATTGACAAGATCATTCCCTGTCCTGGTTAAATGCCATGATGATGGAACAAAAAAAGAATAAATACCGTATTTTTCGCCCTATAGGACGCACTTTCCCCCTCCAAAAATGAAGGGGAAATGTGTGTGCGTCCTATGAGGTGAATGCAGGCTTTCGCTGAAGCCTGGAGAGCGAGAGGCGTCGGTGCTCACCGACCCCTCTCGCTCTCCACGCTTCAGGAAGCTATCCGCAAGCCTTGCACGCCCGGTGGGAGTTCCCCCTCCGGAGGACGCCCCGTGCTTCGGGCTGGTGTCCGCAAGCCTTGCGCGCCTGGCGGGAGGTCCCGCCGGGCGCGCAAGGCTTGAGGCGGCAGCCTGTTCTGTGGGCTGGGGTCGGGGGAAGCTCGGGCTTCCCCTGCCCCAGCCCCGCGGCTGGGGGGGAAATTTTTTTAAAAATTCATTTCCCCCCCCAAAAAACAAGGTGCGTCCTATGGGCCAGTGCGCCTTATAGGACGACAAATACGGTATATGACTCCTGGTTGGAGTGTGTGTGTGTAGGCTGCAAACGCAGAAAAGTACAGCAGAGAAATTACTGTACGGTGGCCACTTAATGCTTTGCTGGGGGCGGGGGGAGGAAATGCATCACTTTAAATAAATTTTAAAAGAGGGTACAGATTTACTTATTTATGCAGAGTAGGTTAACTGTCCAGGTGTGGACTATTGGTGGGCAACATCTAGGCTTCTGGACTCCCTTCTTACAGTTTTTTAAAAAATATTTTATCTTACTGGGTTTTTTAATCTTTAAATCAGACTCGGAGCAGACATCCCTTCGAACAGAGGATGCCTTCAAACAGAAGTCTGTCCTCTGTAAAGTAAGGCACATGGTCATCCTAAATTACTGGAACAGCTGTGCTTTAGCAGATCTACTGTGAGCAAATGTTCCCAGCCTGCTGCTTTATGCTACAGACTCCTGCTCCCCAACCTTATACAGTAGTACCTTGGGTTAAGAACTTAATTCGTTCCGGAGGTCCGTTCTTAACCTGAAACTGTTCTTAACCTGAGGTACCACTTTAGCTAATGGGGCCTCCCGCTGCTGCCATGCGATTTCTGTTCTCATCCTGAAGCAAAGTTCTTAACCCGAGGTACTATTTCTGGGTTAGCGGAGTCTGTAACCTGAAGCGTCTGTAACCCGAGGTACCACTGTACTGTACTCAACATTAAGGTCTCACAACAAATGTAACTGATTTGTAAGAAATACAGTCGTACCTTGGTTTTCAAACAGCTTAGTTCTCGAACATTTTGCCTCCCAAACACCACAAACCCGGAAGTGACTGTTCCGGTTTGCGGACTATTTTTGGAAGCCAAACATCTGATGGGGCTTCTGATTGGCTGCAGGAGCTTCCTGCAGCCAATTGGAAGCCAGGCTTTGGTTTCTGAACTTTTGGGAAGTCGAACGGACTTCCGAAACAGATTCCGTTCGACATCCAAGGTACGACTGTACTGTGCAATCAGAAAAAAGAGACAAGGCATGTACTTTTGTAAAGCAAGAAAATCTTTAATAAAAGTATTTTTTAAAAAATAAAATAAAAAAAGAAAACAGTTTGCAGCTTCCAAGCACAAAATATTGCTTTCTGGTTTGCGTCCCCTGGCTTTGGCGAGTTTTCACTTGAATCCCTTCTGCTCTAGGCTGCTCACCATCAACAAAATGCAATCTCCCGTTCCCTCTCCCCTTTCACAAATGAAAGATGATATCTTAAAAGTAAATTCCTTGTGTTGATTCTGGCACCCAATATCAAAAGCCTAAAGCGGCTTAGCAGTTGTGAAGAAGATGATGTGGAGATTGGGGGTTGGGGGGGGGGAGAGACAACCCACAACCGTCTTGCTTCTGCAAGCAACATGCTAAACATTTCCCCACTAAAACGCCTGCCTGACAAAGGAGAGAGGCGTTTTTATTTTATGGCTGAAATTCAGCCCAGTGCCAAACCCATACATACGGTTTTGATTGCTGGCGTGAATACAGGAGAGGGGGGACAACATGTTTCACCCTGGAAGTTAGGAACATCCCTTGGAAAGGAAGCATAGTGTAGCATGCGTTGCTTGCAGAACGTCCCAGATTCAATTCCTGGCATCTCCAGTTTAAAGGATCCGGTTGAAGCGGGGGATGGGCAAATCCATCAATATCAGTTTCTCTCAGTTGCTGGTTTCCCCAGACTTAGGTCCAGTTCCACACATTTCCACATCAATTTGCAGGTTGTTCTTTTTAAAACCTCGTGAAACTTCTCCAGCACTTTAGCACAAATTTCCCCTCATATACACATGTTTGCATGCAATCTGGACAGAAAGTGGTTTGTTTGTTTTTTGCATGCTGTTTTCAGTAATTTATGCCCATTTTCCCCTACTATATTCTTCTACTTTGGCGATCACTCGTAGCTGAGTAAGATTGTCTTCCATAAACACGGTCTTAACAGTGAGTCCGTAAGTGACTGTGGAGGCTAATTCTGGATCCACACTTTCTTCCACAGTGGAGACATAGGTTTCCGGGTGGGAGTTGATCACGGTGAGGGTTTGCCAAGTGTGCCTTCTTCTTAGCACGTTTCTCCCTTTTGTCCTGAGTTCGAGTGTCTTCAAAGCCCACGACATCTTTGGAAAAGACTGTTCTCCAATTGGAGCACTCGCAGGCCAGTGTTTCCCAGTTGTCTGTGTTTCTACTACATTTTTTTAGATTTGCCTTGAGAGAATCTTTAAACCTCTTTTGTTGTCCACCAACTTTACGCTTTCCATTTTTAAGTTCAGAGTAGTTGCTTTGGCAAACGATCATCAGGCATCCGCACAACATGACCAGTCTAATGAAGTTGATGTTGAAGAAGCATTGCTTCAACACTGGTGATCTTTGCTTCTTCCAGTATACAGTGGTACCTCTAGTTGCGAACGGGATCTGTTTCGGAGCCCCGTTCGCATATAGATGCAAACGTAACCCTTGTCCGTGCGTCTGCGCATGTGCGGGTCATGTTTCGGCACTTCTGTGCATGCGTGTGATGTCATTTTGAGCGTCTGTGCATATGCAAGCGGCGAAACCTGGAAGTAACGCACTCTGTTACTTCCGGGTTGCCGCGGAGCGCAACTTGAACGTGCTCATCCCAAAGCACATTCAACCCGAGTTATGACTGTACTGGCATTAGTTTACCTGTCTTCCCAAGTGCTATATACACATTGCTTGTCTGGAAAACAGCATTGCAAAACTTGGGGAAATGTGATTATTGAAGAGTGGCCAAGTTTTGCTTTGTGTATTGATTCAGAAAGTGTAAATTTGCCTTTAAATGAGGACTGCTTCTAATCTGTTGGTGATCCTGAGGTGGGAGGCCCGTCAGATGGGAATTCACTGAATGAATTTCCTTTACTTATAAAGGTGAAAAACAGAGGTGTGTAGAACCAATGAAAGCTCATGCCTTTGTGAGGAGATATAAAAAAGACTTTGGTGATATTCTGGGAATTCAGCGTGGAGGAAAGAAGAAATGCTACTAGGCACTTTAATGTGTATGCGTACTTCATCCCTTTCCCTACTTCCATGGCCCCGGACATTGGCAACCCACGCTATGTCACTGGCTCCAAGTTGTCCCTTGTCAAATGTTGGCGCAGTTACTTAGCTAAGGAAAGAGAAAAGCAAATGTGGGGTGGAAGAGGGTGGGAGAGGCAGAGGAAACTATTCCTTCCAGAGAAGGAAGCTGTTATTTAAAAGCACAGTAGCCCAGAAAATACTCCACAGGTATTTGCACCCAGACTGACACTGTAGTTGCTTTTTTGCTGAGATGGGGGTGTTGCCATGAATTTGGCCTTGAGAAAGAAGTCAGAATGCAATGAGCTGGCAATGATGTTGTCTGGATTCTCCATCAGCAGAGGCTGAATGAAGTCGGAACAATTCTAGGCTGAACATCCCGTACGGAAGGAACCACCGTCTTGTTTTATATTTTTCTTTCTTAATAGGATTACCAGCGCTGACTCCCAATGGCTTCAAAAGCTGTTGTGTGCCTCCTTAGATTCTCCAAAGCCGTTCTTAATAATTTGTTTTTCTGAAGGGAAAAAAATGCTTTACATATTAAAAAAAAAAACCCTCTATTTTCACACTGCATACAAAACTGCAAAACACAGATTTTCAGTTTCTTCAAGATTTGCAGTGTGCTAGTTTGTTCCTCACAGGGGACAGCATCGGTTCCGTTGAAGGCATGCAAGTCAGCAGATATAGTCTCCATTTTCTTTTCCCCAAGGAATGCATAATGTGCATTCTTTAGATTCCAAGATAGCCAGATGAAAGGAGTGAATTAAGAGTGGAGATCCCTGCAAGTCGCTTGGAGTTTACTTTTTGTACAAAAATGAAAACGAAAAAAAGCAACTATAATAAATAATCATCCTCAAAGGAGACTCCCCCCCCAAAGCAAAATAATTTCCACTTGTTCTGAGACCCCATTTCTGCTGCCGTCGAGAGAAAAGAACAGCAAAAAGCCAACACACATATGCTCAAAATCGCCACTCATGCAAAGGAGAGTCACCTCTCCAATGCAGCTGTGTACATTGGCCACAATCCCAAAGTCTGCACAAACGCAGGTTTCCTCTGTTGTCTTCCCTGGCCCAGTTCCTGGCCTGGCTTGGCTTGCTCCCACGAGTCAACAAGCCACTTTTTCAGACACCCAAGAGGTTAAAAAGTGGGTTGTGGGTTTGCCAGTTTGCTGAAGTGACCTGAATTGGGAGTCGCTGCCGCTGCGGAAACATGAAAGGCCCAAGTGCGCAGGGAGACTAGGGATTTCTGCCGCCGTCGTTTCCACATGACATCAGCAAGGGTTTTTCGGCCGCAGGCACAAAGTATGAGCGGGACCAGCCCTATCATTTGAGACTGTGGGCAATCGTAATCATAACAGAATATTTTGAGCAGCCAAGTTTTTTCTGCTGCTGACGAACGACAAGGAGTGAAGACAAGCATCATCCTATGGGAAACAAAAGGCTCATAGGTAGGGGCATATCACAGAGATAGAAGAAGAGGCACCCCACTTTCTGGGTAACACCCACAATGCCACGAGAATGAGCAAGGTAAGTCCTACCCCACTCAGCAGTGGTTCTTGCCAGCCATGTGGCCCACCCAAATGCACAATGGATGAATGAATGAATGAAGCACTTTGAGCACAAAGATCGAATGCGCCAAAATAGCACATCCAGCTGCCTAAATGGGTGTGGTGCAGGTTTGCCAGAAAAGACTTAGGTTAGTCGCTTTCTTAAGCAATGGAGAAAGTTGTCATGTTGCATGGTGAAAGAAAACTATATAAAAATGATGTACCATTCGTATTTGACTCCTAGTAAGTTAGCAAAATTAAAAGACGCCTGCTTCTTGGGAGAAAAGCATTGACAAACCTAGACCACATCTTAAAAAGCAGAGACAAAGGTCCGTATAGTTAAAGCTATGGTTTTCCCAGTAGTGATGTATGGAAGTAAGAGCTGGACCGCGAAGAAGGCTGATTGCCGAAGAATTGATGCCTTTGAATTATGGTGCTGGAGGAGACTCTTGAGAGTCCCATGGACTGCAAGAAGATCAAACCTCTCCATTCTGAAGGAAACCAGCCCTGAGTGCTCACTGGAAGGACAGATCCTGAAGCTGAGGCTCCAATACTTTGGCCACCTCATGAGAAGAGAAGACTCCCTGGAAAAGACCCTGATGTTGGAAAAGATGGAGGGCACAAGGAGAAGGGGACGACAGAGGACGAGATGGTTGGATAGTGTTCTTGAAGCTACCAGCATGAGTCTGACCACACTGCGGGAGGCAGTGGTAGACAGGAGTGCCTGCCGTGTTCTGGTCCAGGGGGTCACGAAGAGTCGGACACGACTAAACGACTAAACAACAACAACAACGAAGTTAGCAAAAATGTATAAGACAAGTACAACTACCTGCTGGAAATGTAAAGAAGAAGAAGGTACCATTTTTCATATGTGGTGGTCATGTACAGTTATAAAAGCATTCTGGGAAATGATATATAATGAATTGGGGGGGATGTTTAAAATAACTTTTGTTAAAAAAAAAACAACCAGAAGCTTTTTAATTAGTAATTGTAGGTACTGACATCTCAAAGGAGCAGAAAAGACTTTTTTATGTATGTGACAATAGCTTGGATGTTACTAGCCCAGAGATGGAAAGAAGACAAAGTCCTGACCAGAGAGGAATGGCAAACCAAGCTGTTTGAGTACGCCGAAATGGCAAAACTGCTCAGGAACCAAGAAGACAAAAACTTTAAGAAAGAATGGGGAAATTTTATAATATATTTAGGAGGCCACTGTAAGCAGATGAAAACATTAGCAGGATTTTAATGACATTTGTAATGTAACAAATACTACGGACAATATGAATACATACAAAATATGGATTGTGAAATAATATGCAGTTGAAAACGTTGACAATAAGACCCATGGAGGGGATGGGGGGGGAGTCTAGAGATTCAGAGAAATCTCTAAATGTGGATATTTATTTGTTATTGTTATAACTCTAAGCTCGTTAAATCAAATAAAAATTATTAATAAAAACCAGAGGAGAAAGAACCATCCGTTGCACAACTGACAACTCTGGGCTGGCTCCATCCAAGAGTGCAAGGCTCTCTTTAATATGCAGACGGCATGTCTGCATCAGTGCTCAAATGTGCAACCTTGCACATATTTTTGAAACCACTACAGCTCTCTCAGAGAAAATGGGGGGGGGGCAGGCTCAGCATTCTTGTCCTCCAAGAGCCTTTACTGCTAAAACAATTCCCTTCTCGCTGTCTCGCTAACATCTAGCCTTGGGAATCAGCAGGGATCCTTGCTGTGAGTGGCACCCCGTGTTGTGCTGAAGATTTGAAAGTTGAGATCCTGGCCAGTAGGTGTGGAGGGAAAGAATTGGCTCTTTGACTGACTTCCTGGACAAGGATTCCTAGAAGTTATACTGGAACTAGCTCACATGGTAATGCTGAGAATGTCAGTTGGCTCGAGGAAATAGTCACAGAAACTCTCCGAAGGAGACTTCCATCGTTCCTTTAAAAACAAATCAACTTCATGAACTTTTGTGGAAGGGAGGAGGATGGTTAACTGAGGCTTTCATTGCAGCACTCCGCTCTGGAAATCAACTCATCCTCAAATGCCTGCAGGCACGAAGGATGGAAATATTTGCGCATGGGCAGAATCTTGGGACAAACCTAGACAGCATCTTAAAAAGCAGAGACATCACCTTGCCGACAAAGGTCCGTATAGTTAAAGCTATGGTTTTCCCAGTAGTGATGTATGGAAGTGAGAGCTGGACCATAAAGAAGGCTGATTGCTGAAGAATTGATGCTTTTGAATTATGGTGCTGGAGGAGACTCTTGAGAGTCCCATGGAGTGCAAGAAGATCAAATCTCTCCATTCTTAAGGAAATCAGTCCTGAGTGCTCACTGGAAGGACAGATCCTGAAGCTGAGGCTCCAATACTTTGGCTACCTCATGAGAAGAGAAGAGAAGACTCCCTGGAAAAGACCCTGATGTTGGGAAACAGAAGGGGACAACAGAGGACGAGATGGTTGGATAGTGTTCTCGAAGCTACCAGCATGAGTCTGACCAAACTGTGGGAGGCAGTGGAAGACAGGAGTGCCTGGTGTGCTCTGGTCCATGGGGTCACAAAGAGTCGGACACAACTAAACGACTAAACAACAACAACAGAATCTTGGGAAAGGCACAGGGTCGTTTCCTGTGTTGGCAGAGAGGAAATCTTGGGTGGGTTCAAAACCCAGCTCACTCCTGAAGCACACTGACCACCAGCCTTGGGACAGTCCGTTTCTCAGACTAGCCTACCTCACAGGGTTGTTGGGAGGGAAAAACAAGAGTGGGCATACCACGAATGCTGCCTGAGCTCGTAAAAGTGGAAATGTAGATAAAGGTATAAGTATTCACAGGGCGCTTGGAATCACATGCACTGTTTGCAAAGACATTTTATAAAGTGGGAGAGCAAGGTTGTTGTCGGGAACTTCTTTTTGAGACACCAGCTATCTCAGTTGCCTTAGGTGTCGAGGTTGGACTTCCAGGCATTAAGGATGGGGCAAAGCGAGGACTATATCACAAACTTGCAGCAGGTGCATAAATGCCACAGGGCCTGAACAATACACTTCTCCTCAAACTGAAACTTGGACGAAACTCCACCATAAGTGAAGAAACAGCACAAACCACCCCATTGATCATTTCTCTGTGCAGGCTCATTTTTGGCTCATGGTATGAACAACTGTGGGACGCGGGTGGCGCTGTGGGTTAAACCACAGAGCCTAGGACTTGCCGATCAGAAGGTTGGCGGTTCAAATCCCTGCGACGGGGTGAGCTCCCATTGCTCGGTCCCTGCTCCTGCCAACCTAGCTGTTCGAAAGCACGTCAAAGTGCAAGTAGATAAATAGATACCGCTCCGGTGGGAAGGTAAACGGCATTTTCGTGCGCTGCTCTGGTTCGCCAGAAGCGGCTTAGTCATGCTGGCCACATGACCTGGAAGCTGTACGCCAGCTCCCTCGGCCAATAAAGCGAGATGAGCGCCGCAACCCCAGAGTCGGTCACGACTGGACCTAATGGTCAGGGGTCCCTTTACCTTTATGAACTACTGTGCACATTCATGGGATAAGTGGTTGCCATTGCATCGAAAGCCCTCAAAGATGCTTAATGGAGGTTTGTTATGTTGCACAAATCAGCTCACCAGTGCCATTTTATCTGCTCTGTTTATTACAAAACGGTTTCTAAGTTCTAGTTATCACTGGCTGTAACGCTTGCATCTCATTGCCATTCAGCTCCTGCCATACCTTGCAAATTAAGATTTCATGTCATGCATCGGATGAAGCGTGTCTCCGTTCACAAAGCTTACAGCCTAATCCATTCATTCATTCACCGTTAAGATTCTGTTGTTATTTCTGCAGGAGACTCACAGAAGACACCTCTCTGGAAACGGTTACATCAAGTCTGCTCAGGGAGTCCATACTGTGATGCTATCAAGTATGAAAATGTTATTTATGCCAGCCATAATGGATGCAAAATGTGCCCAGCTCTGGGGGAAGATGCTTATTTCTCCGCCATATCTGTTCATAATACCGTTCCGCGAAATAGCATTCCTGTCGAGATGCGACAGGAAACCACTTATCTGAACTTTTCAGAAACAATTAAAGACAGGTTCCTTTCACAGCTGGATAAATGGGTCTTTCCTGAGGCTGTCTACTTCTTAGGGTTTTAGTTTTGCTTTAGACATATTTGCTATTGTGGTGTTCTTAACTGCTTTTAATTATCGCCTAGGAGGAGGAAAGCTCTCACCCAAAACCTCTGCTGTCGTGGGAGAAAAGGCTCAGGAATCTGAATTGGAGTCCCTAAGACGGTTCGATGGCGACTCGCACACCTCCTTCCAGCAACTCCTGCAGCCAAGCTGGTGTCAAACAGGTTGCTCTGCTTTCCTTTGGACCATATCAGCAAGGCTGAGAGGGAGGGGCGTCTTCTTGTCTAGACAGCCTAGGATCTCCATACAAACTGTCCAGGATTGCACCCCAGAAAGGTCACTTCAGTGCTGCTTACGCAGTGATTTTACTTCACCCCCAGAGGCGCACTTCATTGGCTCTCGAGACAGATGGATGCCAATGAAATTGTCTTGAAATGGTGGCTTAGAAGGCAATTAATAAATCAGTGGTAATAATAATAATAATAATAATAATAAAAGGACAATTAATTTCTATGTGTCTACTGGCCCATTTATCTCAGTGCTGCCTCTACACCGATGGGCAGTAGATCTCTAGGTCAACAGTTATGTCCCTGTGGAGATGGCAGTATTGAGTCAGTGGCTCATGTGCTTCTGGCTTGCACTCTTTATAAAGATTTGAGGAGTGAGGTTATTAAAGGTAAAGGTAAAGGGACCCCTGACCATTAGGTCCAGTCGTGACCGACTCTGGGGTTGCGGCGCTCATCTTGCTTTATTGGCCGAGGGAGCCGGTGTTTGTCCACAGACAGCTTCCGGGTCATGTGGCCAGCATGACTAAGCCGCTTCTGGCGAACCAGAGCAGCGCACGGAAACGCCGTTTACCTTCCCGCCGGAGCAGTACCTATTTATCTACTTGCACTTTGGCATGCTTTCAAACTGCTAGGTGGGCAGGAGCAGGGACCGAGCAACGGGAGCTCACCCCGTCGCGGGGATTCGAACTGCCAACCTTCTGATCGGCAAGTCCTAGGCTCTGTGGTTTAACCCACAGCGCCACCCGCGTCCCTAGTGAGGTTATTACCCCTCTATTATTGTCCATGCCGGGTCACTCAACCATTGCTACTGTGTCCTTTCGTCTAGCAGATCAAGATGATCAGCTGACAGCAAAAACCGCAAGGTTTTTAGCAGGGGTGATTAGTATAACATTTATTATTTGATTATGTAAACCCCCCAAATGTATTTTCTATCGTTAGGTTTTTACCTCTTCAGTACATTTTATTTTATTTTATTGCTATGGCTAGTGGCTGGTGCAAAGGAAGATTCTTCTGATTCAAGCTCTCGAGGTTTCAGACAGAGGTCTTTCTCTGCCTTCCCTGGAGAAGTCAGAGATGGAATTTCCAACCTTTCGCATTCCATGCAGTATTATTATTACTATCATTTATTAAATTTCTATACCTGTAGATCTCAGGGTGGTTCATAACCATAGCCTGACATCTTTTCTCAACAGGCTATCCTGGTTTAGTCCACCTTTTCCCCAAAGTAAGGTCCAAACCGAGCTGAGCAACAGTTTTCATTGCCGTCCAGGATAATAAGACCACATTCCCACATAACGCCTGCTGTGCAACTGAACATATAAGAGGCTCCCTATTTGCTTTCCCTCAGCTGACTTGCCACTCAGTTGCTGGCCGCGGGGCCAGGATGGCACCTGTCACAAATCCTAAAACTCATCCGTCTTGTATCGGTCAGCCTTAGATGAGGCACAACTTGTTTTCTTACAGTTTCCCCAGGGTGGGAGTTAATGCCACCAGACATCACTGGAACCGAAGCAGGGGAAGGCGCATTGGGGAAGTCTGTGTTTCGGACAGGGGGAAATCCAAAAAGAGTGGAGAACTGTAACGTGGGAACAAGACCTTTGCAAATCCATTTGTCCCCCTCAAGGATTTCTCTCGCATGGAGGCATTTTGTAGACTGAAGCTACAGCTCTAGTGGGGCCGGCCCTGCCATTGGACAGAGTCGGAGGGGGGCTGCCTCAAGCGGCAGACGCTGAGCGAATGACAACAGCCCATTCCTCCCAATTCCCCTGTTGGCCTCAGGTATACCGTCCCATTGTCAGTAAGATTCCTCTGCCAGGATGGTGGGATTCTCTCTATGGCCTGGGGTGGCAGGTGCCTCCTTTGCCTCAGGCAGCAAAATTGCTTGAGCTGGCCCTGAATCCCATATAGTGGTACCTCAGTTTACAAACTTAATCCTTTCCAGAAGTCCATTCTTAAACCAAAACCGTTATTGAACTGAGGTGCACTTTCCCTAATGAGGCCTCCCGCCGCCGGTGCCCTTCCACCGTTCAGATTCTGTTCTTAAACCGAGGTAAAGTTTGCAAACTGGGACACTACTTCCAGTTTTGCGGAGTCCGTAAACCGAATCGTTCGTAAACAGGACTGTACTTAAACCGAGGTACCACTGTATTTGGGAGTAAGCAACACTGAACTTCCTAGGACTGCACTACTAGAAACAAAACTCTTACCATGCTCAGACGGACAGTTTTCTTCCTTTTCCTCCCACCTCCTGTCTTCACCTCCGGCAGAAGACCCCGGGCTCGGTTGCCTCTTTTAATCGGTTGCCCGTTAATATCTCATTGCTCAGCTGGAGGACCTCATATGTCGGACTTCCCAAGAGCCCAGAACATCAGCCGTCAAGATCTCTGGTCTCTCTCCATTTCTCACTCTCTCTTGGGCTAACTGCATCCAGATGTTACATCTTCAAGGTGCATTCCCAGCCGCCACACTTTGTTGGGAGTTTGGTTTGCAGGCTGAGCCTCTTCTTACTCATCTTTCATCCAAAAAAAAAAAAAAAAAAGAGGAGGGAGTTGGATTTTCAAAAAATACAGCCTGTGAATCTCTGGCTAAACTTTCCAGGTGCTGTTGTGGCTCGTAGAAGTGTTCAGAGGGACCCTGTGCAAACGGGGGAAAGATGATTCTGAGCCATAGGACAAAATGCTCACTGAGCAGCCAGCCAACTTTGTTGCTGAGTGTTCAAAGTGTGCCAGGACTGGCAGACTTGTGGGAGGGGGATCAGAGGAGGGGGGGGAGGCCTGCTCGCATTGCAGAAGCTCTTTTCACAATAAAAGCCTTCTCGGATTTCTCTTGAAACACTAAAAGCCTGAGCCGCAAGCCTTAGTCCTGGGGGGGAAGCTGGCCAGGCGCACACTGCGTCGTTTGTGGGCAAACGGTTCACCAATGAATACTAGGTTGGACAAAATGCAGAAGACTCGAAGAAGTGGGTCCAGGAGGGAGGCAGTATGGCGCAGTGGTCAAAGCAGCGGTTCCCAGTGTTGGTGGCATTGACCTGGGTGGGTGCTAAGAAGCAAGGAGATCAACAGTTATCTCATTGTGCAGTTATCTTATGGGCAGTATGGTTTGCTTGCTTTTGTTTTCCAGTTGCTGTGTCCAATATATAGCCAGTTCATTATTCCTGTTGCGCCTCCCAGCATTTCTGGTTGCTATGCAAGCATATAATATTTGTACACCCACAAGCCCACGATTTCTTACAGCTGCCACTAGCGAGCTTCTGTTCATTTTCACCACTGTCATAATTATCCTGTTATCTTTATTATTGCTATAAGCTTGGGAGGGGTGGGGGTTCAAGGCTCCCCTAAATTCTGGGATCTGGGAAAGGGTTCGAATTCAACCAAGTTCTGTGTTAGTTAGGTGAGATGTGTCTAGGATCACAATTTTTCTGATCTGAGCTGGGAGGGATGTGGTCAGTTTGCAAGGGCTAGCAGGCTTGGGAAAGTGGGGTCAGAGCACCGTGTGGGTTGACAATTTGAACCCAGGACTGTGGCCGTGGGAGAAGCAGGACCCTCTTGGAGTGGGCCCCTCCAGCTCAGGTGGTGTATATGTGTAAATAAACCATATATCATAAAGACACCACAGTCTATGCCATGCCTCATTTCCGATCCTGCCTTGGACCCCTGTGCTCTCGCACAACACAGAAATTGGGGTGGCACGTAACATTATTTTGTAGTAACAGTGTTTTCCCTTTATTTATGGCTATGGGTAGGTTTCGTTGATAAATCAACAACAAAATCGACCCACAGTCGAACCCATCCCTCAAAGTATAAACAAATACAAAGTAACGTTGCTTCTGGGGGATAGCTCTCATGCCCTAAATCAGCCTTTCTCAACCTGTGGGTCCCTGGATGTTGTTGAACTACAACTCCCATCACCCCTAGCTAGCAAGGCCAGAGCTCAGGGATGATGGGAATTGTAGTCCAACAATATCTGGGGACCCACAGGTTGAGAACTGCTGCCCTAAATCTTTTCCAGCAACAGATTTTTCAGCGTTGTTGTTCCCTGGAAACTGTTGCTGCGAACATGCCAACCCCCCAGGTAGAAATTAGGCATGCATATATGCAAACTGGGTGGTTTGAAATCAGTAATGATACAATGGGCAAGGGATACTGGACATAATATACAATTGGCATCATGGGAAAAACTGTGGAGGGAAGATCTAAAATTTACAGCATGTTGTATGTTGAAAGAAAATTATATGAAAATGATGTATCGCTGGTACCTAACTCCTACTAGATTAGCAAAAATGTATAGCACTGCTACAGATACATGTTGGAAGTGTGAAGAGAAATAAGGCACATTTCACCAAATGTGGTGGATGTGCAAGAGAACAAAAGTATATTGGGAAATGATTTATAACGAGTTGAAAAAAAATGTTTAAAATTACTTTTGTGAAAAAACCTGAAGCTTTCTTGCTAGGAATTTTAGGTCCAGAAATACCCAAGGATCAGAAGAGACTGTTTATGTATGCTACAACAGCTGTGCGGATGCTATTTGCCCAAAGACGGAAGGAGGACAAACTACCTACAAAAGAAGAATGGCTGATAAAGATGATGGACTATGTCAAATTGGTGAAAATGACCAGGAAATTCAGAGATTAAGAGGACAATAAATTTAATAAAGAATGGGGAAACTTTATCAGTTACTTGAAAGAACACTGTAAACAATTGAAAACATTGGCAGGATTTTAAAAACACTTGTAATGAAGCGAGAACTATGGTGAGAATTGAGTTTTAAGAAAATATGGAGAATATGATATGATGCAGTTTGAAAAGAATAACTATGGAAACCATGGAGGGGTGGAGGGAAGTTTGGGGATACGGAGAATCCTATTTGTAAAATGATTATGATTTATAGGTAAAAGGTAAAGGGACCCCTGACCATTAGGTCCAGTCGTGGCCGACTCTGGGGTTGCAGCGCTCATCCCGCTTTACTGGCCAAGGGAGCCGGTGTACAGCTTCTGGGTCATGTGACCAGCATGACTAAGCCGCATCTGGCGAACCAGAGCAGCGCACGGAAACACCGTTTACCTTCCCACCAGAGTGGTACCTATTTATCTACTTGCACTTTGTGCTTTCGAACTGCTAGCTTGGCAGGAGATTATGATTTATGCATGATGCTAATTGTTATGAAAAATGAAAAAAATCATTTTCACTTTTAACAACTATCATCATGATTATGATTTATGCATGATGATAATTGTTAAAAGTGAAAATGAATTTTTTAAAGGAGGAAATGTTGGGCTGTTCTTACACTAAACAGCTCCTTCCTGCCCTGCCCACCATGAATACCATCAGCCCGTCGATGCTCAGGCAAACAGGTGCAGCCGGGCGAGTCAAGCTGAAAGCACTCTTGTTCTTTTCTCCCATTCCTTGCCTTAGCTGTCAACTTTCAGATTTGAAAATAAGGGATCAGCAGCCTCGAAAATAAGGGATCAGCAACCTCACCTGTCCTGGGGACAGTCTATGGGATATCTAACAATCCAGGATAGCAGCAGGAAACGGTGCTGGAATAAGGGAATTTCCCGCAAAAAAGGGAAGGTTGACAGCTATGTTCCTTGCTCCCATCCTCGATACAATACGGCGGACCGGTCTTGTCCCAGAAAACAGGCTGGCTTCGCCCGCCTCACCTCCCCGAGGTCTCAGGCCGCGGCCGCCTTTCCAGGTGTGCCAAAGAAAGGCAGAAAACAGAGCTGCCCATTTCGTTTCTGTGCCCATTCCATTATTCTCCTCGCCACGGACTGCGAGCTTTAGCCAGTTTAATGAAGTGAAGCCTTGATCATTTAATCAATGAGGGTCAGTTGTAATCAGTGGGGCAGCAAGTTGAGGGCACGCTGGTTATTTATTTGTTTGTTTTGCTTTACGGTAGTAAGGAATCAGGGAGAAATTGATGTGGGTTCATGCCCTCCTGAATTTCTGCCCTCCACCAGGACAAAATATACACTACTGGCCAAAATTGTGGAAACCTTTTGGAAAAGGTGTATTTCCAAGGTTTGATGGCATATGGCACTTCATCGGCTCTCATGCGCATTGGCTACATTCAAGTGAAGGAAAGTTACTGCATATCAGCCTAAGCAAGTTGTTCTTCCTTTTTCTGGTTATATGGCTATAACGTTTGATAGAATACAGATAATCAGCATTTCGTCTGGGGGTATGCATACCTCTAAACATTTTGTGAATCTTTGTACTTTTGTCCATTTGCTGTATTTATTTTTCCCTGAACTATTTATCTGAACTATAAAATGGTGGTTTCCTTGAGTCAAAATGAGAGTACCCCTAAACATTTTTAAAGAAAAAAAGCACTGCAGATAATTGAACAAACTTTGTTGCATTAAATTATCTTTCCATTGATATTTTATGGTATTACTCCCCAAAAAAGTGGTGTCATGAGCCATCCAACCTCAGAAATACTCTTTTTTCCCAAAGGGTTTCCACAATTTTGGCCACTAGTGTATGAATTAACCAGGAAAAGGGGGACAGGAAATGTATTTGTATCCAGGGAGACGGTACCCTTGCAAAGCAATGTGCCGAATGATCACGATGGGAAAGAGAAGGAACGAAAAGCAAAGCCACGCTTCCACCGGAGGAAGCACAATTGCACAAAGCTGTAAATGTGTCAGCAGAGGGTTGGACTAGATGTCCCTTGGGGTCCCATCTCAATCAGAAAATTCTAGGATGTCATGCAAAGGAACAAAGCACCGGTCTACACTTCAGTCATCTATCCACACGGCTGATCCATTGTATGGCATAAGAATGCCTTCCATAAGTGTGTGCAGGAAGACAGCGGTGGGTGACCAATGGCTTCTTACCGAATTTTGGGCAGGCCAGAGGATGACTCTATTCTTTAGTCCAAAAGGAAGATGGAGCAGGTGAGGAGGACACATTGGGGACAAGGCTGATGCATGAGCTGCTCTTGGCCTAATGTGCTTTGCTTTTCTCCGCCGATGACAGAATAATTGCAGGGAATCAGTACCAGAGTCATGTGCTTTAATAATAATAATAATAATAACAACAATAATAATTTATTATTTATACCCCGCCCATCTGGCTGGGTTTCCCCAGCCACTCTGGGCGGCTTCCAACAAAACACTAAAATACAATAACCTATTAAACATTAAAAGCTTCCCTGAACAGGGCTGCCTTCAGATGTCTTCTAAAAGTTTGGTAGTTATTTTTCTCTTTGACATCTGATGGGAGGGTGTTCCACAGGGCGGGTGCCACTACCGAGAAGGCCCTCTGCCTGGTTCCCTGTAACTTGGCTTCTCGTAGTGAGGGGACCCCTATAGTATGAGGGAATGGCTATAGTAAAATACGCAGGAATGTATAATACGTAAAATGAACCATGGAAGGAGAAGAAGGGAAGTCACCGGATATTTTAACGTTTGTAAAATGTTTATTTTGAAATGTAAAATTGAAAACTTAATAAAAAACATTTTTTAAATAAAAAACTCTATTAGTGAGAGATAAGGAAAAATGGGAATAGAACCTTCAGATCCTGAGGCAGTATATCTCAGGGATAAGTGGAAGGAGTAGAAATCTCCACCTGCCCATCAAGCCTAGTTTGTGCACTTACAAGCAAGGGGAAGCACTTAGATGGTAACTTTTGAAGGCAGGGGGCTGAATTAGATGGAGATTGTTTGGTTTGATCTACATCTCCATTTTTGTGTTGTTGCATTTCCGGTTTTTTTATTACAGTGGTACCTCGGGTTACAGACGCTTCAGGTTACATACGCTTCAGGTTACAGACTCCACTAACCCAGAAATAGTGCTTCAGGTTAAGAACTTTGCTTCAGGATGAGAACAGAAATTGTGCTCCGGCGGCGTGGCAGCAGCAGGAGGCCCCATTAGCTAAAGTGGTGCTTCAGGTTAAGAACAGTTTCAGGTTAAGTATGGACCTCCAGAACGAATTAAGTACTTAACCTGAGGTACCACTGTATTCTAAATGCAAGTCTGTTACTATACCGTTGCATGCAGTTCTGAGAGATCTAGAAGCAGGAGAAATGTCAACTCACCTGTCTGAATTCTCCAGCATTCATGTTCAAACATCATTGCATGCTTTTCTCAGGCATCCTGGCTTGGGGAAAATATGGTGTTTGGCTTTCAGAGGGAGCGATTTTATTTTTTCAGTGGAGCTTGCTGGAAGTGGGCAAGCAGGGCAGCGATTCGGGTCTCGCCCTTCCTTACCTGGTTTATTTGTAAAAATTTATATGGGACTTTTCACATACAGTTTCACAAAAGGCAATCATAACACGGCATAAATATGGACAATGACGAAAGACAAATGAATAGGCATGAAACAAAATCTACCCAAAAATGGAAAATGAGCAAGGTCCCAATTAAAGAAGAAAGGCAACTTAAGTTGACACAATATGCACAACTCGCAGACTTAACACATAGAATAAGACAACAAGAACATATTTTTGGAAAACGTTTATTGAATATAGGGGAAATAATTGTGTACAGCTAAACGCTGGCAGCATTAAGATAAATTCAACAGCGTAAACAAGTTTGGATGGGTACAATAATGGAATACTGAATGTTATAGTTTTTGCAAAATATGCAGGGATTTATGATATGTAAAATGAACCATGGAAAGAGAAGAAGTCACTGGATATTTTAAAATTTGTAAAATGTTTATTTTGAAATATAAATCAGAAAATTTAATAATAATAATAATAAATCATATAGAGAGAGAAGCAAAATCTATAGCACAGACAAGGAAGTTAATGGACCAATGTAAATAAGGCCCAGTCGGATGAACAAACCATTTTGATAGTGAACAAAAGTGGCAAAGGTAAGACAGGGGTTGAAATTACAAAGATTTAATACAGGGATCAGCAACCTCTGCCCCGCCAGATGTGGCTGCTCTGCAACTCCCATATTGGCTGGATTGGATATGAGTTTAAGTCCAACAACATCTGGCTTGCCAGAGGTTCTGCTGAGCTGTGCTGCTGATCTGTCGAATCTCTGGCACACACATTGAAGTTTTCATTTGGTACAGATTCTTCTTCTCGCCAATGAGAAAACGGCACTTTGCCTGAGGATTTCAGATCCCTGGGCTAAGCCCACCTCCAAATGTGAGTCACTGTTTCTTTCCGAATTGGAAGAGCTTTTTGCAAGGTTATTTGTCTTAGCAGAACTCTACAGTGTTGCTCAGAGAGACATTTGAAATCGCACGTTTATTGGCCGCTCAGAAAAGCCTCGCTTATTTAAATCATCTCAGCTGGAGTTCTGCAAAGGCTGCTTTGTGGTTAGAAAAGCAATTGGAAGCTTTTCAGTATGCACAGTTGGGTTAAGCCATCGGAATGAGTAAATACTTCTGGAAGGCATGATGGTTGATTATTTCCTGTCGCCATATGCTTATCTGAGTCATAATCATAACCAGGGAATATAATGTGTATTTGGGAAATGCAAAAATACTCCAGTTTGTGGGGAGGACATATAACCTTAGCACAGATGTTTCTGTAATCTCTAGAATATGGGTGTTTGTTAATTTTTTCATAAAAGGTTTCTCGCCTATTGCCAAAGCTCTCTTTGGAAGTGACAGCCTGTTTCTATATGGAAACAAACTTCTTTTTTATTATTATTTTTTGAATTTATATAGTGCCCTGTACCCGGAGGTCTAAGGGCGGTTCACAGAACAAAATCAAAATATAAAACCACAAAATACATAATCAACATCAATATATTTTGCAAGCTCGTCTTTTGTTTCCCATTCTAGTAAAAAAAATTATACATTTTAGACAGAAGTTTATCTTTATTTTGTAAGAGTACTTTTTCAAATTGTTAGCTTTGGTCCAGAAATCCATTCTTTCTATCTAATTAAAACATGCTGTGTATCTGGTGATATTGCAAGCAATCTGTAACTTGGCTCCTTCAGTTTTCTTTTGATTTTATTTTGGGTCCCCCTCCCCGTAAAATCTCTTACCATTATTTAATGCTGAGCTACATTGTAAGGCTGCCACGAGCCATTCTCTTTCAGCCACAGAACACACAATATGGAAATAATGGGCTGTATTTGCATTAGCGCTGTGGCATTTTAAAAATATGTTTTCAAACCTCCCCCACAAAAGGGTCCGTCTCCAGTTTGGTAACCGCGTATATACACCAAGAGGGAAACCCAGATTTTAACAACTGTCCCACACTGTGACCGTTGCTTGCTGATCTCTGTAGCCAAAACAGCTTTCGTATTCTTCTTAATTACTCAGAATGCACAGCCCCTAATAAAAATGATGACAATTAATAGGACATTTGTAAGCTGAATTTCTTATAGCAAGCACTATATCTCTGCTGCAGGATGTCTGAGAGTTAACAATTTTGGTATATTGCACAACAAATGTCTGCGGTTAAATTTTCTTATTTTAATATTCATTTGCAAACAGATTGAAAAACAACCGGTGCTTCTAATATCAACATCCATTTTATTTTCTGCACCAGACTCTCAATCCCCGTTCTGTCCATCAATAAAGCTAGAGATAATTTGATTGGGATAAATACTGGCAAGTTGAGATAAATGACAATTTTCCACAGGTACAGATTTGCAGTGTTCGCCTGTCAGTTTTAAGGGAAATGCATGATCATGCTTTCCCCAAGAGAACTTTTCAAAAGGGAGGAACAGCACCACCTTGCGACAGACCATATAGTTGCCTACAGTTGTTGTGTAATGTTTTTGTGCAAACAACCATTAGCAGGTGCTATGGGAAGGTTGTTTTTTCTTCTAACAACCCCTATCAAGCTTCTCAAGGTTTCTAAAGGATGTGTGTCTGTCTCGTCCCAGAGCTTCAAAAATCTAACAGGCGCAACACAAAAGGAAAAAGGAAAGGGGAGGGAAGAGGAAAGCAAGCTGTTCTTTCTCCGGTGCATCAACAGAGCGAGGTTGGTCTCTCCCTTGCCATGAGGATGCAAGCTCCCAAATGAGACGTGAAATGAAGAGGGGGATATTTGAGACAATGTTGCAGTGTACACATTTTACAAATCACACAGCTTAGTCGTGGCAATGTGCAGCCAGGCAGTGGAAAGAATTGTGCCAGCATACCTTTGTGAGTCAGCACCAGGAAGCCCTGGACTTTGGAAAACTTTTCATGAAACTTAGGTAAAGGTAAAGGGACCCCCGACCATTAGGTCCAGTCGTGGCCGACTCTGGGGTTGCGGCGCTCATCTCGCTTAATTGGCCGAGGGAGCCGGCGTACAGCTTCCAGGTCATGTGGCCAGCATGACTAAGCCGCTTCTGGCGAACCAGAGCAGTGCATGGAAACGCCGTCTACCTTCCCGCTGGGGCGGTACCTATTTATCTACTTGCACTTTGACGTGCTTTCAAACTGCTAGGTTTGTAGGAGCAGGGACCGAGCAACGGGAGCTCACCCCATCGCGGGGATTCGAATCGCCGACCTTCTGATGGGCAAGCCCTAGGCTCTGTGGTTTAACTCACAGCATCACCCGCGTCCCTTGTTGAAACTTACTTAGTTGAAAAATGCTCCTTCCAGAGTTGGAAGTTTAGTTTAGTGTGTTGTGCCTTATTTCGCTGCACCACCAAGCACAAAACAAACCCTCTGCAGCGCCACAAAGACAACTCAGTGATGTAACATTGGAAAATGTGGGTCACTTCTCCTACTTGGGCAGTTATCTTTCCACAGGGCAAGCCAAGCAAGGGGTGGGGGGGAGAGATTTACATTGAAGCAGTGAACACATTTGGAATTTTGAGACAGTGCCACGAGTGCCAGTCCCAGGGGGCATAGCAGATGGCTGCCACATCAAACAGCAGAAGATCACAAGATGGGGTGATCATGTTTGCCCCCCCCCCCAACTAGAAAAGGCTCCTTCGTTGACCACGGCCACATTTTCTCAGAGAGTGCTCTTTGTATCTCTCCTTTGCTCAACACAGAAGGCACATCAATGCTCAATTCTGTGTCCAGGGCAGCTGTCTACCAGCTCCATCTGGTACGCAGGCTGAGACCCTACCTGCCCGCGGACTGTCTCGCCAGAGTGGTGCATGCTCTGGTTATCTCCCGCTTGGACTACTGCAGTGCGCTCTACCTGGGGCTACCTTTGAAGGTGACCCGGAAACTACAACTAATCCAGAATGCAGCAGCTAGACTGGTGACCGGGGGCGGCCGCTGAGACCATATAACACTGGTTCTGAAAGACCTACATTGGCTCCCAGTACATTTCCAAGCACAATTTAAAGTGTTGGTGCTGACCTTTAAATCCCTAAAAGGCCTCGGTCCAGTATACCTGAAGGAGCGTCTCCACCTCCATTGTTCTGCCTGGACACTGAGGTCCAGCGCAGAGGGCCTTCTAGCGGTTCCCTCACTGCGACATGCAAAGCTACAGGGAACCAGGCAGAGGGCCTTTTCGGTAGTGGCGCCCGCCCTGTGGAACACCCTCCCATCAGATGTCAAAGAGATAAACAACTACCTGACATTTAGAAGACATCTGAAGGCAGCCCTGTTCAGGGAAGTTTTTAATGTGTGACATTTTAATGTATTTTTAATCTTTCGAATCCCCGCGGCGGGGAGAGCTCCCATCGTTCGGTCCCAGCTCCTGCCCACCTAGCAGTTCAAAAGCACCCCTAAGTGCAAGTAGATAAATAGGTACCGCTTTATAGTGGGAAGGTAAACGGCGTTTCCGTGTGCTGCGCTGGTGCTGGCTCGCCAGAGCAGCTTCGTCACGCTGGCCACGTGACCCGGAAGTGTCTCCGGACAGCGCTGGCCCCCGGCCTCTTAAGTGAGATGGGTGCACAACCCTAGAGTCGGACACGACTGGCCCGTATGGGCAGGGGTACCTTTACCTTTTAATCTTTGTTGGAAGCCACCCAGAGTGGCTGCTGAAGCCCAGCCAGATGGGCGGGGTACAAATAATAAATAATAATAATAATTAGGAGAATTTAAGGCAGGGAGAGCATTTGAGAGGTGTCAAACAGGTATTTCTGTTCTGTTCATGCTAAAATCCTGCAAACGCACACAGTAGTCCAGCTGGGCAAAGCTGCAAGGAGGGAGTAAGTGAGGCATAATTCTTTGATCATGTAACTCTACCACTTGATCAGCGAGATGGCTAGCAAAATTCCATGTTTGGTGACAGCATGGTGGCCTATTAGATTCCAGAGCAAAGCCTCAAGGCCATCCTATCTCTCTGCACTTCTTGGAAGAATTACGCTAAATGCACGGTTCTGATGTTTAGCATAACACATATCCATACATACACAGAACAAATTTCAGGATCTCAAAACTGCAAGATTCACCTTTTATCAACACTGCAGTATCTCTTAGTATTATGTATTTCAGCAACACAGAAAAAGGTATGCATTAGAGCTTACAAATTCACACATCATCACTTAAGTTTAGACGGCAGGATGTTAAAAACCTGCAAATTTTCCATTGCCTGGAAGTAATCAAAAGTCTTGGCAACACTTCAGCATGACAATGCTTTTGAGGTAGCATAACAGCATGAAAAATGTTTTCAGAAAATTGTTTGCCTGAGTTGTGTTTGATACCATTGTGGGTTACAATTAGGTATATGAAAAGGCAAGGTACACTATACAAAAGGATGTCAGGAATGAACAAGAATTCTTGGCAAAGGCTTTGGTGATTAATATGGAAAATATTTTTATTCCCACATCACTTCTGCATGATAGCCAGCTTTTGAAAAATCATTGAACAAAAATTCTTCATGGATTTGCTTCGGATGTGAACACCACCTAACAGCCCATAGCAGAGTATCTTGACAAGGCAAACTCATTACGAAATCAACCGAGCTCATTCTTGAGAACAGTTCATTTTTCTACACCAAGTTTTGTGATGCTAGAAAGCTTTCGCTTTCAGCAGACCAAATGAGCCACAAAGCAAGTTCATGACAACCCACTTCGTTTCATACATGAAGCAGTTAAGCCGATTTCCTGAAATGCTGCCTCAGTAGCTCATTGCTGCCCAAGTCAGAAAATACACTATAATTTCTCAAAATCTTAAAAACACTTCAACTTGCCCCCTTTAAAACAGTATGCTGCATCTCATCTTTGGATGGAAGGAAGATTAAGTCCCAACCAGAGAAGAACGGCAGATTAAGTTGATGGGATTGTGCCAAAATGACCGGAAAAATCAGAAATCAGGAAGACCAATATTTTAATAAGGAATGGAGAAAATTTATAATTTGCCTTAAAAATCATTGTAAACAGTTAAAATCGTTAGCAGGATTGGAATAACACTTGTAGTTTAATGGTGAAGTTTGGATATAATGGAGATGTAAAAGATCCGATTATAAAAGATGCAGGAGGAAAAGACTAATAATAGGATCCAGAAAGGGGAGAAGTCCAGATTCTTTGGAATCTTGTTTTTATGATGTATGTTGGATATGTGATTGCAAAACTTTAATTTGACAAACCAAATAAATAAATTTATAAGAAAATAAAAACAAAACAGTATGCTACGGTCTAGTAGCCAAGCTACTTCTGCATCACAATGACACATTAGCAGTGGATAGGATGGAGAAGTAACTTGGGTCATCAAGCGTCTTACAGAGTACTTGATGCCTTCTCTGGAAAAACTTTTTGAAAGAGAGAAATCCAGCTGGAATAAAGCCACACTTCACTGTGCCTCCATCTCTTCCCTCTCCATCGGCCAACACAGACCCAAATCCCCAACCTGGGTATCATGTCACACCCTGGCTGAGAGCCTCAAAGAGGATGTATCCATTTACTGCGAGTGCACACTGAACACATGCAAATATATGGAAATAAGAGAAATTGGGCAATTAGCCCAGTAAATGGCATCTCACTGTTTTATCTGATTGAAGGTATTCTCACAAACGTGCATCAAAATAAAGACATCAACACGAACGTATACACAGTTTGAGCCAAAATATGGCACTAAAAAGTGGTAAAGCCCCTTTGACATGATTCAGGAGTCAAGGCTCAACATAACCAATAATGGCTGCCAAGAGGTGCAATTCAAAGAAAGGCATGCCTAGGCTGGTTTAAGGAAGCTTCTAATGCATGTAGTTTCAGCTCTGTGGAGGAAATATGGGGTATAAACGCTTTAAATAAATATTGTATATAGACTGGCAGCCCTACCTAGTTATGAGGGACTGAACCTGGGACCTTGTGCATACAAAGTGTGTTCTATACAGCTCTGTTCACAGTTAGTGTTCAGTTACATTAACACCAACAGGCACATAGTCAAGTGTCACCAAGGTATGTTCCAGAACTCTAGAAAGAGGAGCGTGCTTAGTTATGTCAAGTGCAAACTTGAACAGTTAACCAGAAGACATGGTAATTCTTAACTGGCTATTGCCTAATTGACACCCGCACAAGGTATCAATTTGCCTGAACTTAAGAGGAATGGAATCGTAGCATTCAGGTTTTATCACAAATCTGGTCAAAGCAGCTGAAGAAACAAGTCATATGGCCATACGAGGTGCACATAAAAATGAAATTTTATTTGCTGACTATTTATTCTTTTTTGGGAGGAGGAGCAGCAGCAGCCTTCTGCAGCTTCTTCACTTCGTGCTTGATGATTCTGTTTCTCTGTAAGGAAACAAAATTATACAGTCGTAAGCAGGACTCACATTTTCAACCTATCTAATTGACTTTGTTAGTTACTCGTAAGTGGGCAACTGAAAGATGTAAGTATTACAATGCAGGTTGAGGTTATTTTGCTTGAGCAGCCGTCAACGGTTTCCTTTTCCATTTCACAAAAATTATGCTTGCAAGAGACTGCAGAAGCGCACATTGAGTGACAAAACTTCTATCTGGTCAGGCGCAGCCCTATGAGGCAGGATGAGGCAACTGCTTCAGTCAGCAGATCTGGAGAGGTGGTAAACAGTCCTCGACCCCCACGTTGAGGTTGCCTCTTGTAAGGAATGGAGCACCATTGCAGTGAACCTTTAAACAGGCTTTGCCAACATCACAGCAAACATGATAGGGCTGCCTCACTCTGATGATTGACGCCTTCCTTGGAGTGCACAGCATGGAGGGGGAAAGGTAGAGAGGGAAGTGGGAAGTGAAGGAAAAGGCAGCCATCTAGATAAAACACCGCTTCCCTGTTTTCCAGTGTAAAAACTCCCAAGGCAGCGGAGATAACCCTAGAGCCAGCGAGGGTGGCAAGTTGTGTTCCATCGACACACAGCTAGCACTGTATTTGGACCCACTGCAGTTTCCGAGGGAGTCTTTAAATGCAGCCTTGCGTATGATAAATTGCAGCCCATCTAATCAAACCCAGAACATGAAACTACAAGGTGCTCACACTGATATGCAAGACAGTTCTATTCAACTAGTTAAAGGAGGCATGGTTATTCAAATTACAAAGGAAAAGGAATATAAAACTAGATTACCAGCAGTTTTGCCTTTACCTACCATTTTCTTGGCCTTCATGACCTTGTAACGATCAAAATCTGACATCTTGGCTTTCTGTGGAAAGATTTTCCAGGGCAGACAAAAAATAATTGTTAGAAACATAACCATCTTGCTAAAAAATGCTGAGTTTTGTTCAAACTTCCAAACTTGTTTTCAACCCAGCGAAATACGTATCTCATGCCTGCCAATTTAGCTTCTGAGCATTCTTATTTATCTTGTCAATTGCATTTATATCCTGTCCTTCCCCCAGCAAGGTCAGGGTAGTGTACTTAGTTCTGCTCGTTTCTCCTTTTTATCCTCACAACTCCCGTGAGAGGCAGAGTTCGAAAATTGCCAGGATGGTGCTTGACGTCGCCACCACCTGGAGGTGCATGCCTGGGAATCCTTGGATCTTGACGGCTTTCACACAATAGCAACACATCTTGTAGAATTCTGTTGTATTTTATCTGCACGATGATAATGAATTTCAGGAACCAAAAAGCCGTGTTGAAAAACACAACTTTTGAGCTGTCTGGCCCCAAAATGGCAGCTATGCATTCCGTATTGGTGGCTGTATGCCTGGTTTAAGGAGCTGTTTGGCGCCCAGCTTAGATATCTGAGTTTCTAACACTGTTAGGTGTGAGAGAGAATTCTTCCACCAAGGACTACAAGGTAGGCCAGTTACCTGTTCTGAACGGTACTTCAGAGAGCATGTGGAACAGATTTGTTTATTGTTAATTATAGCTATTTTTACTGGCCCTTCAGAAAACCAATAACCCAGCAAAAAACAAGTAAGGTTTTAAGAGTGGGGGAGAAAGAGTCACCCCGATTCTGAAAGTCTATGAAAGTAGGTACAGTGGTACCTTGGTTTTCAAACTTAATCTGTTCCGAGAGTCCGTTTGACTCCTGAAACAGTTCAAAAACGAAGGCATGGCTTTCGATAAATGTTCGCAAACTGGAACACTCACTTCCAGGTTTGTGGTGTTTGGAAGCCAATTTGCAAGGGAACCTAGCCATTCGACTACCAAGGTACCACTGTACCAGGCAAACCTACCTAGTAAGAGCATACTACAAAGAAGAGGAGGGGTTTTTCAGTGCTGGCACCCAAAGTGTCATCCATTGCAAAACCTAAAGGTCCTGTCCTAAATTAACCTAACATACCAGGAGCCAGACACATAGATAGGTGGCCTTTTAACTGAATAGATTTAGATGCAACCATGTTGACCTGCTGGTACTTTTGCTGGTAGTAATCATTCAGTTGCCCAAGCAACAGCTTATTTAGCTAGATTAGCATCAGTATCTCAGCCCAATGTTGCAGACTTCATGCTACAGTATTTCAAAAACATACCTTCTTCCTGGCTTCAATTTTTTGTGCCCATCTGGTAGTTTTCCACTTCTCGTTAATGTTTTCCTTCTCCCAAGCAGCTCTCACATACTTTTGACGAGCACTAATTTAAGAAAAAACACCAAAATTTGTTACTGAAACAAAACACAAGCTCTCATTTTCAGATGAATCTCAGTAGCCAGAATCAATGCACTGAAAAACATTCTACAATGCATTTCCCCGATAGACTCTTCACTTAATAGTAAGGAGTAAAAGCTTTGTAGCAACCGTACATCTGCCCCTTCAAAATGTAGTCTCATAAGAGCCGTTTAGGAAAAGTAACAGTTCAGATCATAACATGGCTTGAAAAATTCTCTGCGTGGGACTTTTTGCTTTGTAAGGACACAGTGGTCACAAACAGCAGGTTCTTTATATAGGCAGCTCTTAATAACAATGATTATGTCATAGTTTCAGCAGACATGACCCTATCATGCCAGTCAATTTTTGGGGAGGGCGGGGGGAAGGTTTGTGAAGTAAGGGCTGGTACCCATTTTTAACAAGCTAGCAAACTAGGACCTTCAGCCCAACTATAGCAGGATACCCTTCAAGCTGATACCAAGTGAAGTCTTCCTCTAAAATGGAGTGAAGTCCTTTCCATCTCTCCATCTCATTTTTCCAGATGGAAAGAAGACAAGGTCCCTATCAGAGAGGAATGGCAAAGCAAACTGATGGACTATGCTGAAATGGCAAGGCTGACTGGAAAACTCAGGAACCAAGAGGATAAAAACTTTACAAAAGAATGGGAAAAAATATAAGTTATCTAAGAGACCACTGTAAGCAGTTGGAAACATTGGCAGGATTTTGATTTCACTTGTAGCTAACAAATACTATGGACAATATGGAGTGATTTAAAAGTTAGAATATGGAAGAATATGCAGTTGTAAATAGTTCTAACGTTTTGACTCCCGAATGCTGGAAACAGTGACTTCTGGTTTGCGAACTATTTTTGGAAGCTGAACATCTGACGGCACTTCCGCAGCTTCCAATTGGCTGCAGGAGCTTCCTGCAGCCAATGAGAAGCTGTGCTTTGGTTTTCAAACATTTTGGAAGTCGAACAGACTTCCGGAATGGATTTCGTTTGACTTCCAAGGTACAACTGTATATGGATTTATATTTGGATTTTTATAACCTTGTATATGTAAAATCAAATAAAAATGATTTCAATAAAATGGAGGAAAGTCCTACGAAACCACACATATTCAGCAAAGATTTCAGGCAATGCTGAACATGATAAACTGTTAAGAGAAGTATGATGCACTTTGCTATAGCAGTAACAATGCAAGCTATTTCCACAATTTTTCAAGTTTAAAGAGGAAGTGATGCTAGATTACAAGAAAATAACAGACCTGTGAGGAAACTTGAGAACAAAGTCAGTCAGCTGCATGCACTTGAAGGGCATAGCTTGCCTTCGGACACCGCTGCAAGGACCATCTACCAGTGCCTAGAGAAAAGACAAGGCTTTCAACAGGACCCTTGGATTCAGGGAGAAAAATACAACGTTGTTTTGCCAGTCTAAAAGGAAACCTGAATTTAGATACTAAACTGAAGTGCAGAAAATTGAACAGAAAAAGGCAAACAGCACCGGTTGAAACAATTATAAAGCAGCAGTTTCTTGAAAGCCAGAAGTTCCCTTGCCACCTTAGTAGCTCACCTGCACACAAGTGGCAGAAAGAAAAGCATCTATGGCAACCTTTTAATGGCTAAAGTAGCCATTTAGAATGCAATCTGACACACAATTTCCCTGGGAATAAGCCCAACTGAGCATAGTGGGACTGACTTCTGAGTAATCATGCATGGGATTGTGCTGCACACGTTGGACAAGGCAACTGGGATACAGCAGATTACACAAGAAGAATTTGTGAAAAAAGTTAAATGTCTGCAAGTCTACCTCTAGCACAACCCCACCTAAATCTTAGGTAATTGCTCAGTGTCACAGAGCACACATAGACCAGTCATAGGAACTAGAAGCTTGAGATCTTCAAAAAGACTTACATGGTGTGTTTTTTACAGGCAAACTAAGGACCACCAGCACCCATACACTTGTACATTAAAAACAACAGAGGGCCCTCCTCATTTACCTGACATTTAAATTAGTGAAATTGTCAGGCAGAAGGAAGAGAGACTTTTGACTGTTGACTTCAACATTTAAAATTTATTGTCTGTCCACCTCTGAAAAATCACCATCCTCCAGACTTTTAGAAAAGGTTCTAAAGACTTGTTTCATGCGACCTATACATAATTGGGTTTTTCCTGTAGTGCTATGTTAAATGGATGATTTAGTAACTAATTATATATTTTAGGCTGGATATTTTATTACTGCTTTCAAGTACTTGAAAGGACTTTGTATATATGTTATTGCTATTCTATTTGAAAATATTTATCATGTAAACCATCATGGCAGAGCTTGGCTCAGAAAGGTGGCCTGCAAGTATTTCAAATAAAAAGGAATGTTTATTTAAAAAATAATGGCACTGCCTGTTCCTTCTCAGTCATCAAGAGGCACACAAGGAAGCGTTCAAACTTACCCTGTTCTGATCAATAACATCCACAATCGCTACCAGCTTGCCCGCATGTGGTCCAAAAGAAATATAGGCAACTCGGCCAATCTCAACGTAGCGTTTGAACACCTTAAAGAGACAGAACATTATTTAAAACAACTTACAATGATGTACTGCTGGGAACTTAGAACCAATTTGAACTGTGAACAGTGCCAGATTTACATATAAGCTAAACAAGCTATAGCTTAGGGCCCCACTCTCTTGGAGTCCCCCCAAAAATTTAAAGGGAAAAAAATTGGATGTACATTTCCAAAATATAAGATAAAAAACAAATAAAATAAAACCTACATACAGCAAGTGTTTCGTGTTGTGTGGGTTCCTATGATGTAAGTAACGGGCCCCGTCTGCTAACCTGCTCCCTAAAATATCACTGGTTTGCTCATTTCTATACAGTGGTACCTCGGGTTACATACGCTTCAGGTTACATACGCTGCTAACCCAGAAATAGTACTTCGGGTTAAGTACTTTGCTTCTGGATGAGAACAGAAATTGTGCTCCGGTGGTGTGGCGGCAGCAGGAGGCCCTACTAGCTAAAGTAGTGCTTCAGGTTAAGAACAGTTTCAGGTTAAGAACGGACCTCCGGAACGAATTAAGTACTTAACCCAAGGTACCACTGTATACAGGATTTAGACACCCATTAGGTCCATAAATTACCATACTGTATAGCATCAATTCAACACAAAAAACAGCAACAATTTCTTGTTGACAAAGGGCAGCTGGACATAGAAAGGGCCCCATTACCTTCAGTAACTTAGGGCCTCATCAAACCTGAACCCGGCCCCGACTGTGAACACAGCACTATTACAGAACAGAAAAAAAGAAAAGAAAACGAAGCCCAAGAAACAGTAAAACTCAAGATTTGCCGAACAGAAGATTTCAGGCGGCAGCTGCTGCTCCGCGGGGCCTGGATCTTCACATGAGGTGGTTGGCGGCGGGGCTCCCTCTCCCCGAGACCGCACTTTTCTCCGCCGCCACCCCGCGTCCCCATTCCTGCCCCCTCGCCCCCCCCTTTGGTCTACAGTGGTACCTCGGGTTAAGAACTTAATTCGTTCCGGAGGTCCGTTCTTAACCTGAAACTGTTCTTAACCTGAGGTACCACTTTAGCTAATGGGGCCTCTTGCTGCCGCCTCGCAATTTTGGTTCTCATCCTGAGGTAAAGTTCTTAACCCGAGGTAATATTTATGGGTTAGCGGAGTCTGTAACCTGAAGCGTATGTAACCTGAGGTACCACTATATTTCCTCCTCTCCCCCCCCCGAAGCCTTAACGGTCTCCCCCCTCCCTCAAGCGAAGGCTCTTCCCGGCCCTCCCCTCGCCTCACGCCGCTCCGTCCCGGGCGCCTTCCCCGCCCCGCGCGAAGGATAGGCCGCGCGGCCCCCCTCGCCGGCCATTCCGGCCCCCAACCCAGCCGCCCTCGAGATAAAGCCACGCGGAGGAGCCCGCGCTCACCATGATGGCCGCCTCACGAGCCGAAGGCCGCGGGGAGAAAGAAAGAGCTGCTTCCGGTCGCTTCGCGTATCCGTTTCCGCCGCTCTGTACTGCGCAGGCGCCCCGGGCGGGACCTCATGCGTCGATTCCCCTCCGCGCTCCTTCGCCGGATAGAAGCGCCGCCGGTAAGGCGCATGCGCGGCAGCGGACGCGGAGGGAGGCGGGCGAATCCGAGCGCTCGGAGAGAGCGCATGCGTCGCGAGCGTAGCTGAAGTCCCAGCGCAGGTTGGGAATGGGGAATACTGCTTGCTCGCGAAGCGTGCGCGCATGCGCGCTGAGCATTCTGTGTGCCGCGGGGGGATAAACTGGATTTAGAAAGGAAGCGAGTATTCCGAATAGTTGGACAGTCTTGAGATGCGTGGAGACTGCAATGCTCTGCTGTGTGGTGGTGCTTTGCAAGGCAGAGTGAAACCCAGGTGTCCGGAAAAACCCGAACGCAGGACAGCCCATGTCGGAAGTGGGTTTGGGGCTATTTTCCTAAAAAAATAGATTTAAAATTCTTCTTTCTTTTCTTTTTTTTTTGAAATTTTGCTCAGCCACTTTGGGAATTTTTCGAAAATCGCGAAAAACCTGGGTAGCAAAAAGACAAGAAAAGAAAGCTCAACTGCTTTTGGGTCCGGATTTTCATTTTTGGAAATATGGCAATCCAAAAATGACTGAGCATTTCGTCATCTGACTCACGTTTTGAATCGTAAAATAAAAGGTGCTGTACGTACTTGCAAGCTGTATATAACCTGAGCACACAGTTTCCCCACCCTTTCAACATACATGGAATTGTAGCAAATAAAATGTGGAAAGAGAAGGGAAGTCATTGATATCTTAAGGATGTATAAATGAGTACTTTAAATTGTAAAACAGAAAATTTAATAAAAATTATATATATATATATATATATATATATAAACAAAATGTGGGAAGGGGTATTGTTTTTGTTTTTTATTATATCATGTATTTTTGTGTTTTTATATTGCAAACCATCCCATGGTCCTCGGATGGTATAGAAATTTAATAGATGATGATGATGATGATGATGATGATGATAATCATCATCATCTCCATTTGAAAGTTACTCCCAGCAAGTTCAGTGCAGCTTGCTTCCTGGTAAGTGGAGTATAGGATCGTAGCCTGAGCCTCAGTGGATCACACTGCTAAGAGTTCAGGGCACCCTATTTTTGTGCACAGTTAGTGTTTCTGCTAGCAAATAACTTGGCGCCCCAACCCTATCATTAGGCAATGTGAGGCAGCAAGCTCTCGTGCTGTTTATCCCTCAGTGTTCCTCTGCATGCGACATCCAAGACAGCCCTAAGGTACGTAGTCTGCTTTCTTCAGGTGCAGTGGAGAACGCTCTCCAATTGCTGAAGTAAGAGCACAGAATGGGACTTAGGGGTTTATTTTAGGTGTCACATATGAAGCTTATTATAATGGATGGATGGCGGCTAACAGATTGAGGTTGAATCCTGACAAGACAGAAGTAATGTTTTGGAAGAGGAGCGGGAGGCGCTGTGGTCTAAACCACCAAGCCTCTTGCTGATCAGAAGTTCATACTTCAAATCCGCACTAAGGGCTGAGCTCCCGTTGCTCTGTCCCAGCTCCTGCCAACCTAGCAGTTCAAAAGCACGCCCTTGCAAGTAGATAAATAGGTACAGCTGCGGCGGGAAGGTAAATGGCATTTCCGTGTGCTCTGGCTTATGTCACAGTGTTCCGTTGTGCCAGAAGCAGTATAGTCATACTGGCCACATGACCCGGAAAGCTGTCTGTGGACAAACGCCAGCTCCCTTGGCCTGAAGCAAGATGAATGCCGCAACCCCATAGTTGCCTTTGACTGCACTTAACTGTCCAGGGGTCCTTTACCTTTTTTTTTTTACTGTTTTGGGGGGACCGGGCGAGCAGGTTCTGAATGGGGTAACTGTGCCCCTGAAGGATCAGGTACGCAGCCTGCCAGCAATTTTGGACTCACAGCTGACCATGGAGGCACAGGTCTACCAGCTCCATCTGGTATGCAGGCTGAGACCCTACCTGCTCATGGACTGTCTCGCCAGAGAGTTGCATGCTCTGGTTATCTCCTGCTTGGACTACTGCAATGTGCTCTACGTGGGGCTACCTTTGAAGGTGACCCGGAAACTACAACTAATCCAGAATGCGGCAGCTAGACTGGTGACTGGCAGTGGCCGCCGGGACCATAGAACACTGGTCCTGAAAGACCTACATTGGCTCCCAGTATGTTTCCGAGCACAATTCAAATTGCTGGTGCTGACTTTTAAAGCCCTAAATGGTCTCGGCCCAGTTTACCTGAAGGAGCATCTCCACCCCCATCGTTCAGCCCAGACACTGAGGTCCAGCGGCGAGGGCCTTCTGGTGGTTCCCTCCCTGCAAGAATTGAGGTTATAGGGAACCAGCCTTCTTGGTAGTGGCACCCACCCTGTGGAACACCCTCCCATCAAGGAAATAAACAACTGTGTGACTTTTAGAAGACATCTGAAGGCAGCCTTGTTTAAGGAAGTTCTTAGTGTTTGATGCTTTATTGCTTTTTATTATTATTACTATTCTGCTTGGAGCCACCCAGAGTGGGCAGGGTATATTATTATTATTATTATTATTATTATTATTATTATTATTATTACAAACGTGAGAACAGAATTTGTCTATCACCCACAGTTCTTGAATGACCGGTATATTATATTAGCACTCCTTGTTTTGCTCCGATTCCATTTTCTCTGGAGTCTATAGCCTAGCTGAACCCAAAGGGTCTAGACCTGCCTTTTGCAGTATAGAGCTACGGGTAGTTGCTTTTAGGTACCATACATAGTGAATGTACCATTCCAGAGCACCGAAAATAATAAACTGTCAGAATCTTTGGTGGCCGTTGTATGCCTGAAAAGAGATTTGGCTGGGCAGGGCAATTGTGATTAATATTGAATTGTTTTGTGGACAGATGAAAGGGGATATTGGAAGGCATCTAATGAACAGGAAAATCGGCCAAAGTCTTAATAAATAAAGACACTTAAAATGGTTATATGCAATCATGTGCTATTATGATAAGGGCTGATCTGAAAAACCCGGTGATTTGATTGGTTTAGGATGATGTCATTGGATTGCAACTATTAAGATTGCTGTGATCCTTTCATTGGTGAAATGCAATGACATGTGTAATCTGGAAGTGTATAAAAAATATGGCTTTGGATGTGGTTCTTGGCAACCTCCTCCTTATTTTTGGGGCTATGCGTATTTTTATTTCAATAAGGCCCTTTCTTTTCACTTGAGGCCTGTACCTTTTGTTTGGGGTTTCTGGGAGGAAATACCTCCAGTCTAGGAACTTCTTTTTAAATTTCTCCAACAGATGCACCAGGGCTTTTTTCTGCCTGTACTTCATTTCATCTTGTTGCTGCACCAAAACGGCTCAATTCGAAACACCCGCCGTTTCCCTTACGTCGTAAAACACTGCTTTTTCAAATAAGAGACCGTTCTGTTCTCTCTGTTACGAGCGTATTTATTCTACAGGAAACACGTGGTCGACATGACAGGCGTTCTTTCGCATGCGCGACACCACACACGAATACACAAGGAAGATGAGGCACAGTAACGCCACGGCTGTGAAAAAGAGAAGCAGCCCAGCAAACAGGGAGGGGCTCATGGGGGACAAGATCATATTGCTCTCTGCCGGAATCATGTTGGTGAGACTAAGCATGTAGCCTAGCGACCAAGCTATGCTGCTGTTATCGACCTGAAACACAGGAAAAGAACAGCAAATTAGACTCTTCAGATAATAAACCTCAGGGCCATTCTAGAAAATAGAAGATCTGCTTTTCCTATGTACTGTGGGTTGTTGTTTTTTAATATGACCAAAAAAGTTGCTATAAGAAATTAATAGCATATTTTCATACATTTGTGAATAGCAAAACTAGCATGTTGGGTGCATGTAGTAAAAGGCCAGTTCACAAATAATCTGTATGTGGAAGCAAATCTTCAGCAGATACAGTGGTACTTCGGGTTAAGTACTTAATTCGTTCCGGAGGTCCGTACTTAACCTGAAACTGTTCTTAACCTGAAGCACCACTTTAGCTAATGGGGCCTCCTGCCGCTGGAGCACGATTTCTGTTCTCATCCTGAAGCAAAGTTCTTAACCTGAAGCAATATTTCTGGGTTAACGGAGTCTGTAACCTGAAGCGTATATAACCTGAAGCGTATGTAACCCGAGGTACCACTGTATACAGAGCCAGGGCTTTTTCGGCTGTGGCTCCAATCTGGTAGAACGCTCTGTCACAAGAGACTAGGGCCCTGCGGGACTTGACATCTTTCCGCAGGGCCTGCAAGACAGAGCTGTTCCACCAGGCCTTTGGCCAGGGCACAGCCTGACTCCCTCCTTTGGCAATCTTCACAGAACTCTAGTCTAATGGTTGCCATCAATTTGATTTGAATTAATTTTATAATGAAATGATTTAGAATATTGTATTATTTTATTGTTGTTAGCCGCCCTGAGCCCGGCTTCGGCTGGGGAGGGCGGGATATAAATAAAAATTTATTATTATTATTATTATCCCACCTCTTCCCATTCATTGCATCTTTTCATGTTAACTCCATCTGCATTTGCACACAGACACTGTTCTCAGTGCTCTTGCTAAGAAATAAAGGAATGGACAGATGGCACAAGTGGGACTATCACCTCTTTATCCAACAATGAACATGTGAAGAGGTTCTGATTCAAACTGAAGATTTTATATGTGACATGAGAGGGTGCATGCACCTGAATCTTATTGCTGTATAATGTTACATGCTCAGCCTGAGACTCTGAACTAGCTCAAAGCTGAAGCTCAGACTGTCTGAAAGGTCAATATGCCAACTAAAAAAAATACTCTGGTTAATAACGTTTAAAACAAACAAAATAATGTCAAGCAAGGATTTCCAAAACATGATCTCCTCTGCCAAAAATACGAGTATTTACAGAGCAACGATGCTCCTAGGATTGCCAGAATATAGCATCATGAGCCCCCCTTGCCACTTTTTTTAACAATGCCAAGATACGTTGTAATAATTTCTGGTGATAATATTTTGCTTCTGTAATCTGTTGCCAAATGCAGAGTAAAATTATTTTTTGCTGAATTTCTCCTATGTACTGTGTTGCTTCTTTCGTCGGATCTTCACATGTAGCGGTATTTCTGCAGGAGGGATGTGTTATGTACTGAAGTTCTCACCCTGGACCAGCAGGGGGATACTGTAGATAGTTATGCAAATAAGGGATCAAAAGTGATGTTCAGTGACTGGATAGTTTTAGAAAATTGTTATGGTTACATTGTACGGAGCTCTATATAAGCAGGCTGACTGAACCCTTCAGTTCAGTTCTGTCCTGGCCTGTGAATAAACAAGAGCTGTTCGAAGAATCGCTGTATCGTCTGATATGTTCACCCACAACTTAACAGGATGAGCAGTATCTTCTGTGCAGGGAGGCAGGGATTACTTGGCTAGCAGGAGCATAGGTATTTGATGCTTTCCAAAAGAAAGCAAAATAGACGTTTTAGTCCAGATTGGCCCACTTCAAATGTATTGCGAAATCATGGTTTTCCTTTGCAACAGGTTCATGGGCTTTGTGCAGCCTCCTCCACTGTTCCCTCTGCCCAATTTAAAAAACAAAGACAATGTTTAAAATTAAAATTTAATTTGCTGACTACTCACATATGATTCCTACCAGTGCTTTCTTCCTCGTTTTTATTTTTTAATAGAAAAAGGGTGCCAGCACCCGCCAGGAAGTCCTTAACGGCAAGCACCACACTTTTAACATTTGGAAAAAGGTGGCAGCACTGTGTACCCTGAAGTAACTCCAGAAAAAAGTACTGATCCCTGGGGTGATGCCAAAAGTTTTGGTGTCCCCCATTTGTCCATTAGTATACACTCATATACACACATAAATATACACACAGGTATATATTTACTAGGGACGCGGGTGGCACTGTGGGTTGAACCACAGAGCCTAGGACTTGCTGATCAGAAGGTCGGCAGTTCAAATCCCCGCAACGGGGTGAGCTCCCGTTGCTCGGTCCCTGCTCCTGCCAACCTAGCAATTCAAAAGCACCTCAAAGTGCAAGTAGATAAATAGGTACCGCTGCGGCGGGAAGAGAAACGGCGTTTCCGTGCACTGCTCTGGTTCGCCAGAAGCGGCTTAGTCATGCTGGCCACATGACCTGGAAGCTGTACGCCGGCTCCCTCGGCCAATAAAGCGAGATGAGCGCCGCAATCCCAGAGTCGGCCATGACTGGACCTAATGGTCAGGGGTCCCTTTACCTTTACCTTTATATATTTACTGACCACTCCCAAGGGTCCCCTGCTCTGATGCCACACTGCACCTTTCAACGTGCAATCCATGGAGGGTTGGCCAAGGGTCAAGGCATCCCTCTACTTGAAAAAAAACCTTAGCCACCACTTCAAAAAACCTCAATCTGCCATCTGACAAAGTCCTGGAGGAGCATCATAGCTCAGTGGTAGAGCAGAGGGTCCCCAGCATCTTTGAATCGGGCTGGGAGAGAACCCTGACTCATATCCTGGAGAGTCAGTCTAATAAATCCTAAACTAAGCAGACAGAAGCTTGGACTCTGTAAGCCAGCTTCCGATGTCCCTAGTGGCTGGAAAAATTTTACCCATCACTTGGGAAGACAGGCAAACTAATGTCAGCGTTCTGGAAGAAGCAGAGATCACCAGTGTCGAAGCAATGATTCTTCAACATCAACTTCATTGGACTGGTCATGTTGTGCGGATGCCTGATGATCTTTTTCCAAAGCAACTACTCTATTCTGAACTTAAGAATGGAAAGCGAAATACCAGTGGACAACGAAAGAGGTTCAAAGACTCCCTCAAGGCAAATTTTTAAAAACGTAGTATAGACACCGACAACTGGGACTTTACCAAAGTTGTCGTGGACTTTGAAGATGCTTAAACTCAGGACGCAAGGGAGAAACGTGCTAAGAGGAAGGCACGCTTGGCAAATCCTCAACTCCTGCCTGAAAACCTATGTCCTCACTGTGGAAGGATGTGTGGATCCAGAATTGGCCTCCACAGTCACTTACGGACTCACTGTTAAGACCGTGCTCATGGAAGACAATCTTACTCGGCTACAAGTGATCGCCAAAGAAGTAGTGGCAGGAGCAATTCTGTTCACAGTAAAGTCAACTGTTTTCCAAATTTATTTTTAATTTTTGCAACAGTTAAGAAACATGTTATGTACTGAAGTTCTCACCCTGGGCCAGCAGGGGGATACTGTAGATAGTTATGCAAATAAGGGATCAAAAGTGATGTTCAGTGACTGGATAGTTTTAGAAAATTGTTATGGTTACATTGTACGGAGCTCTATATAAGCAGGCTGACTGAACCCTTCAGTTCAGTTCTGTCCTGGCCTGTGAATAGACAAGAGCTGTTTGAAGAATCGCTGTGTCGTCTGATATGTTCACCCACAACTTAACAAAACATCTATTGACAATGGCTCTGAGTCCCTAACTTTGTTTTCATCTTTCAAGACTTCCACCCTTAAGACTCCCACCCTAAGATTTCCAAAGTCTTAATCTTTCAAGACTTCCACTATCTTTTGAGGGGGGGTTGAGGGATGGGAGTTAAACTTACTTCCTTCTGAAAGCGAATCTGTGGCCAAGTCTCTGCACTGAACTTATACCCATGTATAAGCAGGTAATAGATGTAGTTAGCTGAAAAGCAGTAAGATTTTGCGTAGATTTCATCAAATTTAGGTATCATGTACGGAAGCTGAAAAACAAAAACAGTTACTCAGAAACAAATCAACATTAATATTTATTTTGTTGGGGAAATTTCTACTCTGGCCTTCCATTGTGATCAAGGTCATTAGGGCAGGTAAAGAAATGGTACTCTGAAAATTCAAGGTAAGACTCTTGGTGTACGGTAATTAGCTCTGAATATGAGTTTGTCAAGGGAAAGAAACACGGCAAGGAAGCAATATAAATGTGGAGATCTGCCTGGAAGCAATCGTGCCAACTTGTTTTGAAGTGATATATATTATATGTCTAGAGGATACCTGTTAAGACTTCTGCTAGAGAACAGTATTTTGGTTTTAGTTATTTGTATAGAACTGAGTATGAGAATAATAGAATCATAGAACTGGAAGGGACACTAGTCCAACCCCCTCCAATGCAGGAATATTAGATTTTTGTTTTACCATTCTAACAATAAAAATAAAAAGCATGATCCAGCAACATTTAAACACTTGCCTCTAGATAATTTGGCTAGATAATTCTCAGCATTAGGAACATGCTTCTGTTGTCAAGTTTCAGAGTCTGAATCTAAATTTTATGAAAAGCAAGACATATTTACTTGGAAGTAAGTCTCATGGTAAATAGTGGAAATTATTCACAGGAAAGTGTGCGTTGGAATGCAGCCTAAATAAATTTTGTCCTCATTTGATGAATGAGAGTGTTTAGTTTTGCACAAGTATAGCAAACTTTTCTCAACAGTTCCCTTCTACGAGTTCAGAAGATTGATACAGACCTGATTCCAATTCTGTGAACATAATGTCCACATGCTTGAATTAAAATCAGCCAGTGAAAATTCTCCAGTTAAATTCAGAGCATTGACTGTGTAGTAAAATCCAGAAAAGGCCTATGGATTAAGGCAGGTAAGAGTTAGATCTCAACTGTGGTTTTATTTTATCCCCTTATTTATTTACTATTTTACAAAAACAAAAGCAGGACAGAAACGAAATGAGATAAAAACTGTAAACACGCAAACATGTGTATGTCTAGAAACATGATTCTAAACAATAGTTCACCAAATTTCCTTTAGAGCAGAACATGGGAAACAACAAATCGGGCTATTATCCTGCATGTTATTCCAGAAATTTCTTAATAAGACCCCTCTTCCAATGAACATTTATTTTCTTGAAAACTCCTTATTTAACTCTTATCTGGGGAATCATTATTATCTAAGTTCTCTCCCCTGTTCATCCAATAATAGCAATCAACTTTTCAACTTATCTCTTTTTCAACTTATCTCTTAATCATACATAACATGATTATTTGGGGGAATTCAGATAAGCGATATCCTGTAATTTCTTGAATAGTTTCCAACACAGTTGTGGTTCTAATTGTAAAGAAATGCTGACTACAAAACTACACATACTTGCACACATACACAGACGAACCGCACAATAAGCACCAGGCAAATGAAACGTACCACAAAGTTCCCTTTAACCTTTGGCTGATAGACGCCATTAAACGAACAGTCTTCCTTCCCCCTGCAACTTGCGAAATCAAATAACTTGGATACGGCTTCCCTGCAGAGAGCTGGATCTCCACTTCCAGTGACATTTACAAGCTGGTCTGGGTTGTCGTTCTCTGGCCTTAGAAATGCCGTGCAGAGGCTGCCGTACAAGTATTTCGTGGTTACAACAGTTTTATAATTCCGAGGATAGCATGGATTATTGATCCTGGATTTATCACCTGAATTCTGGCAGTTGACAAACAACAAACAAACAAGGAGGTTTTAAACAGGAGGGATAATTTCGACAGGAGTCATTGTTACAGGGAAGGTCACTAAAATAGGCTGTATGTTTTGCATTTTTCCCTGACCAACATGCATCCATAAAGGGAGGCAGCTTTGCAGTAGAAAAACCTCCCCCAATGCTTCTCTGAATTCCACCTTTCTGAAGTTGCTTTGGCTTAATAAAAACCACTGGGTTTTTGTTACATCAGCTTTTGACTTCCTCTGTTTACTTGTCTCTCCATCTTCCCCTGTGGCCAGTAACTCGGACTGACATAACTTAGATTGTCAATCGCCTTTTTTTCCTTTTCTTTTTTTGTGTTGTCTTAAAAAAGTTCAACCATTCCTAAAATGACTTTTGGGCACGTCCTGCTTTTTACTTTTTGAAAGAAGACTGCTGATTGAATCTCCACTGCTCTAGGCTTTTTGTTATGAGAAAATGGCAAACAAGCCATGCAAACTGTTATGTACTGAAGTTCTCACCCTGGGCCAGCAGGGGGATACTGTAGATAGTTATGCAAATGAAGGATCGAAAGTGACGTTCAGTGATTGGATAGTTTTAGCAGGGGGATACTGTAGATAGTTATGCAAATGAAGGATCGAAAGTGACGTTCAGTGATAATTTTAGCAGGGGGATACTGTAGATAGTTATGCAAATGAAGGATCGAAAGTGACGTTCAGTGATTGGATAGTTTTAGAAAGTTGCTACAGTAACGTTGTACTGGAGCTCTATATAAGCAGGCTGACTGAGCCCTTCAGTTCAGTTCTGTTCTGGCCTCTGAATAAAGAAGAGCTGTTTGAAGAATCGCTGTGTCGTCTGATATGTTCACCCACAACTTAACACAAACTGTTTGCTCCACTACTGAACTCTGTACCCTTCTCTGCATTCAAGAAGTAGACCATCCTAGCAGAAGAGCATTCCCTCAGCCGTACCTGTAGTATCGATGCCAGCAGTTTTTTCTCTGCTTCATCTCTCCCGTAACACTGGAAGCTATGCGTGTACACGCTGTATTCATAGCCATACAGCTGCACTGGCAGCGTGCTGTTGGTCGTGTCACCGGTCTCATCGGGGATGAACGATATTTGGGTGGAGGCCCCTCCTAAATCGAGGGCACCTGTGGTCTCTGCTCCGTGGGGATGGACCCAGGCCCTCCAAAGGTTTCTCTGGAAAGGAAGAAGGTAGATTTGACATCCCGGGCCACCATGAGGCTCTGCTCTCATCTAAACTTTCCCTTCTGAGCTTACAGGGTGTCACAAAACTGCGCTGAGATCAATGCGAAAAGCGCTCCCCAGCTCGCCTATGGAAGCTGTAGAAATCAGAGTGTTCTTCCAAAGAATAAAGCCACAGAAGTAGCAAGAGGCTGTCACAACAAGAGTTTGGAATAGTGTAGTTCACCCTACGTACATTTGATCAGGGCGGTTGGGGCACCACCAGTTTCACTTTGGAAAATATGCCAACCAGGCCTGTATCGCGAGCCAAATGCGTAGGCAAAGATGTTCAGCCTGTGCACAGTCAGCAGCACATTGCTGAAACCAACAGGACGGGCCAGTTCCAGGTTTGAGGGGGCATTGGGCAAAGTGTTCCCCACAGTCTGTGGGCCCTGGCAGGCTTACCTGGCCATAAAACAATGAACGGGGTGGTGGTACAATGACTACTGCAATCAACAGGAGATAATATCACCAAGGAAACTGGTGATGAAAGCAAACAATAAACGTCCATAGAAATGGCAAAAACAGTTTCTTTCCCAAATAGGTTTTATCTTAAACAATTGCAAACGCAGTAAATGATGAGTTCACTTATGATATATCAGTGGCTCAGTGCTCATTTCTTCTCTTTCCAAAATAGGTTTTATCTTGAGCAATTGGAAACACAGTAAATAAAGAGTCCACTTGTGATATACTAGTGGTTCAGTGCTTGGATGTCGTTCCAGTAATCAGAGGTTTCATCGCTAAAGAATCCTCTGACATTGGGACGCGAGTGGCACTGTGGTCTAAACCACCGAGTCTCTTGGACTTGCCGATCAGAAGGTCAGCGGTTGGAATCCACGCAACGGGGTGAGCTCCCGTTGCCAGGGGCGTAGGAAGGGGACAGGTGGGGGTGGTGTGCCCCAGGTGTCATCTCGGGGGGGGTGACAAAATCCTCCCAGGGTGGATCACCGCCACACCAATAGAACCCCCCGGTGGATTGCCGCAGCAACAATCAGCCCCCTCTGGGGGGACTACCCCCACATCGATCATCACCCCGGCAGACCGTCGCTGCGCCAATCGGACAAACGCCAGCTTCCTCGGCCTGAAAGTGAGATTAGCGCTGCAACCCCATAGTCACCTTTGACTGGACTTAACCGTCCAGGGGTCCTTTACCTTTTCCTTTTTACCTCTGACATCGTCCTCTTTCTCTGCTCCTCCTGATGGAAACATGCAGATGGAGCCAAATACAGTGGTACCTCGGGTTACATACACTTCAGGTTACAGACTCCGCTAACCCAGAAATAATACCTTGGGTTAAGAACTTTGCTTCAGGATGAGAACAGAAATCGTGCTCCAGTGGCGCAACGGCAGCAGGAGGCCCCATTAGCTAAAGTGGTGCTTCACGTTAAGAACAGCTTCAGGTCAAGAACGGACCTCTGGAATTAATTAAGTTCTTAACCCGAGGTACCACTGTATACCCCTGCTTTAAGTCGTGGGCATACTGTCTCCTCTTGTGTATTATTTACTACAAAGCTCGATGACTGAGCTCTTTATCGACAAAACGTTGGATTATGAGCACTGAACCACTACTATATCACAAGTGGACTCTTCATTAACTGCGTTTGCAATTGTTCAAGATAAAATAGTTGCCCAGGCTTCCATGGCATCAGTGGCACCGCTCTGAGCAGCCCCGGGTGGCTAGGTCTAGCTGTCCTTTTGATTTCCCACAATAACCCAGAGCAACACTACATCAGGTGCACTGTGGGAACGTTGGCTAGATCTGGCTGTCTGGCACTGCTCAGTGCCAGGCCAGAAAAATAATGCCACCCCTCAAATCAGCGGACATCATCAGTGGCCTCTGTCAGGGCACTAGTACCGTGGCAACTTGGCCAGCTGCTATCACCACTCCTGTCAACAGAGCTCCTTATTCTGTGCACAGGGAAAGAGTTCCCTGTGGGATTTTGTCAAACAGCTGTGAAAGCAAAGGGCCTGCCGTACATAGGGACAGGGCTATTGTGCCATCGTTTCCTCTGTTCCCGGTTTGGTGTTTTAGCACCAAAGGATAAAAGGAAGATTGTTCCACTGGAAGAACTGGGGGAACCTGGGAAGGGCATGGCTTAGGAGGACATCGAGTATGGAATGTAAACCACAAAGTTGCATCTGCAAGTGTGATCAGGGTGTCTTAGAGTGGTGACGACCGTTGTAATGTGCTTGGCTTATTCTGGAGTGAGGATTGCCTACAATTTAAAACTTCTGTGAAATTTAGAGGGGTTTCCTTTGCCCTGGGCAAGCTACCTTTGAAGGTGACTCATCATCATCATCATTTTTATTCGACCGTCAGTCAGAAAAAAGTACATTTTGTCAATACACAGTTAAAACATCCAGGAAGATTTTAAAACTTAGCCAACACTAAAATGGGCTAAACAGATAGCCCCATATCAATACAGTCAATTATAGTCTTGCGACGCTTAAAAGCTAAGAAGAGAAATTTGGCCACCAAGGAAGGTATAGCTCTAGTGGTGTTATTCAGCAAGTGTAAAACCTGGTTTTCTCCGGGTAGGAAGCTGAATTGACATAAGAGTGGGTCTATAAAATTTTGTCTAAGCTCTGCATAGGAAGGGCAAGTCAAGAGAATGTGTTCGGTGGACTCAACCATGAAGGTGACTCAGAAACTGCAACTAATCCAGAACACGGCAGCTAGAGACTGGTGACTGGGAGCGGCCACAGCGGCCGTATAACACTGGTCCTGAAAGACCCACACTGGCCCCCAGTTTGTTTCCGAGCACAATTCAAGGTGTTGGCACTGACCTTTAAAGCCCTAAACCAGGGGTCAGCAACCTGCAGCCCATGAGCCACAAGTGGCCCGCAGGGGTCATTTAAACGGCCCACGAGCAGCCCCCGAACCGAGCCACCCACTCGGCGAGTCCCCGCACACTGCACTGGCACAGCGCAGAGCGGGGACTCGCTTCCGCAGCACCAGAAATCATGTCTGAGCAGACACAGATGCCGAAATTCGCGCCTGCGCAGACACGAGCCAGCCCACGGAGCGATTTCCATGGGAGTGAACCAGCCCAGGTGAGGTAAACCTAGCTGACCCCTGCCCTAAACGGTCTCGGCCCTGTATACCTGAAGGAACGTCTCCACCCCCACTGAGGTCCAGCTCTGAGGGCCTTCTGGTGGTTCCCTTACTGCGATAAACGAAGTTACAGGAAACCAGGTAGAGGGCCTTCTCGGCAGTGGCACCCTCTGTGTGGAACATCCTCCCATCAGACGCCAAACAGATAAACAACTTTACAACTTTCTGAAGACATCTGAAGACAGCTCTGTATAGGGAAGTTTTTAGTGTTTTATGTTGTCTTATGCTATTATTATTATTATTATTATTATTATTTATACCCCACTCATCTGGCTGGGTTTCCCCAGTCACGCTGGGCGGCTTCCAGCAAAATAGAAAAAATAATAAAATGTCAAATGTTTAAAACTTCCTGACAGTCTGCGGGCAGGTAGGGTCTCAGCCGGCGTGCCAGATGGAATTTATAGACAGCTGCCCTGGACACAGAATTGACCTGTGCCTCCATGGCCAGCTGTAAGTCCAAAATGACTCCCAGGCTGCGCACCTAGTCCTTCAGTGGCACAGTTACCCCGTTCAGGACCAGGGAGTCCCTGGACCTGCCCATCCCCTGTTTCCCCAAAACAGTATTTCTGTCTATATTTGTTGGAAGCTGCCCAGAGTGGCTGGGGCAACCGAGTCAGGTGGGCAAGGTACAAATAATAAAATTATTATTATTATTATTATTATTAAACTTTAAATGGGTGTTGTTGTTTTAAGAACACGACTCAATGTCATCCCCTTATATGATGTTTTATGCCTTTAACAGGAGAGACCAGTTTGCTAGGTAAAACAGAAGACTAATTCAAGGCAGGAACCTTTGCTATAAAGATAATCTTAGTACTACAACCACAGTTTTAGGTGGTTGTATATTTATATATGCATACATCGTGCCACAATCTTCCCTTGCCTGGGGGTTATGCTAATCTCAGCGTACATCCGTTCAAACACTAGCAACTCATCAAAGAATAGTATGCAATAAAACATGCAGATTTTTCCACGCACCTCCAAGAAATTGCCCATTAAATAGTTGGCTGTTATCCATCCGTACACCCCTTCCTCTTGCCCGGTTATGATTTGAGTGCCCCTAAATTCAAAGGGCAGGGCTGCGAAGTACTTTTGAATGCTCCGAAGGACTTCATGGGCCGCTGATTCATTTTGCAACCTAAGCAAGTCACAAGAATACAAAACGCTGAGTGGCCGAAAGGAGACGTTTGCCCTTCGTCGTCTGCCAAAACTAGTGACTAGACTTGGCAAGTCAAGGGTTGATTCATACATGCATGTACATTACTTAATTATTCAACACTGGATGGTCCAGGGAAATGTGTGGGCTGCTTTCATGGGAAAATACCAGGTCCAAAATGATAGCAGGGGGTATGAATGTTCTACTTGTAGTGATCTCTTTGTGCCGGCTGGTCCACACATCAATAGTCAATGCTCTGGTTTGCACATTACAGTAAAGGTAAAGGGACCCCTGACTGTTAGGTCCAGTCGTGACCGACTCTGGGGTTGCGGCGCTCATCTCGCTCTGTAGGCCAAGGGAGCCAGCGTACAGCTTCCGGGTCATGTGGCCAGCAGGACTAAGCCGCTTCTGGTGAACCAGAGCAGTGCACAGAAACGCCGTTTACCTTCCCGCCGGAGCAGTACGTATTTATCTACTTGCACTTTGACGTACTTTCCAACTGCTAGGTGGGCAGGAGCTGAGACCGAGCAACGGGAGCTGACCCCGTTGTGGGGATTCGAACCGCCAACCTTCTGATCGGCAAGTCCTAGGCTCTGTGGTTTGACCCATAGCGGTAGTTAATGACTTACCATGAATGTGCATATCTGGGCTGTGAGTCCCCTTGCCACTCACGCAGAGAGAAAACAAACCATGAATTCTGGTTTAGCTGAACAACACATCACCAGTTGATTTGACCCCCCCAAAAAAGAAGTCCCACAATCAGTATGCCGAAAAACTAACCATGGCTATAGATTGGGGTTTGTTGGGAGCATCTAAGTTCTGGTTTATGAATCCTGGTTTATATGTGATGCTAGCCAAAGATCATGGTTTGTTTTCTTTTCTATTATTATTATTATTATTATTAACCCCACCACCGAGACCACAGAGAGGTCTGTGTGCCATGAGGGGCAGAGCTTCCATCTCTGAGGTTGTCCCCCCCTCAATCTCCAGGTTGCAGATTCTACCATTCTGCTTGTCTCAGTCATGGTCTCCTGAACTCGGGCCCCCATCTGTTTTGGGACTACAGTTCCCATCATCTCTTGCTAGCTAGGGATGATGGGAGTTGTAGTCCGAAAACAGCTTTTGGAAACCCTGGTCTAAGTAACGAACATCAGCATAGCTTGAATTGTGCCAAAATGCTTCAGGGAATGGGTGCCAAGCAAAACCACACCAGGAAAAAAAATATGCTGTGTATCTTATTTATACGGATTAATCACTGGTGTGTTTTTAGTATAATCTATGTGCCCTTGCCGCGGGACCACATTCATCCAGCGCTTTACCAACTGCACTGGCTCCCGGTGGAGTACAGGGTCAGGTTTAAGGTGCTGGTTTTAACCTTTAAAGCCCTATACAGCCTAGGACCCTCATACGTATGGGACCACCTCTCCTGGTATGCCCCGCGAAGGACCTTACGGTCCACAAATAATAATATCTTGGAGGTCCCGGGCCTCAAGGAAGTTAAACTGGCCTGAATCAGGGCCAAGGACTTTTCGGCTTTGGCCCCAGCTTGGTGGAAAACTCTACCGCAGGAGACCAGGGCCCTGGGGGACTTGACATCTTTCTGCAGGGCCTGCAAGACGGAGTTGTTCCGCCTGGGCTTTGGTCCGGGCCCAGTTTGACCCCTTTCTATGGGACCCTGTAAGTTACCTCTTTGGCCCTTTAATCGGCTCATGTGGGACCAACATGGATAGCTGGTCCTGATGAATACTTGAGGTTCCTCACCCCTATGTTGTAATTTGTGGGCAATCATTTAATTTTATCCTGATTCTAATTTTTAAGCTGTATTTTAATCAATTGTTTGATGGTGTTTTAATGTATTTGATGTTAGCCACCCTGAACCCGGTCTTGGCCAGGGAGGGCAGGTTATAAATAAAAATTTAATTACTTACTTACTTACATTGGCCCTTATCTCTACTATTTGTCAACACTTAAAAGAAAAATCTGTGCACGCACAAAGGATTTTATACAACCACTGGCACATGCACAACAACAAGTGCAGGCTGTTGTCAGGTATGCAACATGGGCCAAGCCCCCACTCTCTCCCTCCTCCCTGGTTGTGGCAGCCCATGGCACAAAGTCCTTGTTTGCCCCCTCCCCCCAAGATTACACATTTATTACAAAATATTCAGGAACACTCCGATCTGGGATCAACTGTCTTCTACAAGGCAGTCAATAGTCACAACAAGTTGAATCTGAGGGAAGATTCTACTCACCAGCAATACCCCCTGGGAAAATCCAAATCCCTCTTTGGTTTATGGGCGTTGTCTTAACATGCTCATATCTATTAATCCCCATAGACTGATAGGTTTTAAGGCGAGGATGAGAAGACTTTGGCATGAATAATTTCCCCCGGCTTTATCCACTTAACAATGGACAAAACGATACACACAACACATCAGCGTCTGCTGTGGTTTCCAACCATACCTCAGAAGTCTCATGCCGGCTGTGGCTCCCAGGTAGACAGGTGTGGTCGTATGTAAGTGCAATGGAATTTTCTCCTTTACTTTATTCATGCAATCATTAATGGGCTTAGCAATTTCTTGAGGGTTGCTCGCATAGCTGGATATCCCAGGACCTAGGAGAAGGGGGTTAATGGATTCAGTTTTGTAACTCACCAAGACTTTTACTATACCGCTCTCTCTTTAAGCTAGTGTCATTCTGAGCACTTTTGCTTCTTTATTTGGAAAGCAAATAAATAAAGTTAGCAAGTAAATAATGTGTAGGAAAACTTGAACATTACAGTAACCATAGAACCATAGAATTCTAGATGCAGAGAAGGCCTTTGACAACGTTCAATGGACTTTCATGAAAAAAACTATTGAGATTATGAACTTCGGAGAGTCATTTCTTAGAGAAATTGATGCAATTTATTCTGACCAACAGGCAATGCTGATAGTAAATAATGTAATAACAGGAAAATGTAAAATAATGAAAGGGACGAGACAGGGATGTCCCCTGTCACCATTATTGTTTATTAGTTTTAGAGACCCTGGCTAGAAGCATAAGATCAGATGAAAAAATAAAAGGGATAGCAGTAAGTTATAAAGCATATAAGCTAAAGGCATTTGCAGATGACCTTGTGTAGAAGACCCTTTGACTAGTATACCGAACAGATTCTTAAGTTTGGAAAAGTAGCAGCTTTTAAATTAAACAAAAGTAAAATGAAAGTATTGGTGAAAAATGTGATGGAGCAATATAAAAAAGACCCACAACAAGTAACAGAACTGACAATTGAGAAGAAAGTTAAGTATTTAGGAGTATGGATAACAGCTAAGAATATAAATATTTTTAAAGATGGAACCATAGAATTGTCGAGTTGGAAGGGGCCCATAGGGTCACCTCAAGTCATTTTATTACTGTCGATGACCAATATCAAGCCTAGGGTCATCTAGTCCCAAATAATGCACGATCAAATATATAAGATGTTGGAAGTATGCAAGAAGTGTCATGTTTCATGTTTCATGTTTCAGGCAGGCTTCATTCCTCCATGCTGTGCCCCAGTCCACGGGATTTCAACTGGTGGATTGTAAAGCTTATCCCTGTTCCTCCCAGTGGCATAGAATGGGTTGCCAGTGGCCCGGGCCACACAGAGGCAGGAAGGAGGGGAATGGAGGGAGTACGCATGCGCATTTAGCTGCCTAATGGCACCCGCGTCACCCAGGAGATCACAGCCTGAGAGATAAGAAAAGGCGACCTGTTCCATTGTCTGGAGAGTTCACTTCCTGGTTTGAATGGAGAAGCCGTTTTCAATGGATTCCAGCATCTAATCATTTCTGTTTCAAATTTTAATTGCTTTAATTCATTCCTATATAAACCACTTAGTGAGGTGTATTATTATTATTATTATTATTACCCTACAAGTGGCACATTACATTCCTAAAATAAAAACCTAAAATAAAAGCTACTTTCCCTCCACCCGCATGTATGGTTTACAGCAGTATAACAGCTCTGGCTGATGAAACTGAAACCTAGTACAGTGGTACCTCGGGTTAAGTACTTAATTCGTTCCGGAGGTCCGATCTTAACCTGAAACTGTTCTTAACCTAAAGCACCACTTTAGCTAATGGGGCCTCCTGCTGCTGCCACGCCGCCGGAGCATGATTTCTGTTCTCATCCTGAAGCAAAGTTCTTAACCTGAAGCACTATTTCTGGGTTAGCAGAGTCTGTAACCTGAAGTGTATGTAACCTGAAGCGTATGTAATCGGAGGTACTACTGTATCCATTTTGGCCTGGGATAAATCCAGATGGGTGGCCCTTAAAAGTTAAAAACACATAAGCACATAAGCAACCAGGGTGAGAATTTTGCTTCAGATTTAAATTGATGGATTATGCCGAAATGGCAAAAATGACCAGAAGAATCAGAATTCCGGAAGACCAAAATTTTAATAAAGAATGGGGAAAATATATAATTTATCTTAAAAACCACTGTAAACAGTTAAAATTGTTAGTAGGATTGGAATAGCACTTGTAGTTTAATGGTGAATATGGAGCTGTAAAAGATTTGGATTATTATAAAAGATGCAGGAAGAAATGACTAACAATAGGACCCACAAAGTGGAGGAGGGAAGTCCAGGAGATTCTGTGGGATCTATGTTGTATGTTGGATATGTAATTGTAAAACTGTAATTTGAAAAACTAAATAAATAAATTTTAAAAAGAAGAATTTTGCTTCAGATTACAGCAGAGCCGAAATGATCCTGCCTTTAATTAGTTTTTTTTTTTTAAAACCAAACCAATCCCACAAAGCCCATAATTTGCAGATGGGATTCTATTTGCAGGCTTCAAATAGAATGGAACTACAGGGATGGAAATATATATATTTCCATCCCTGTAGTACAAGAAGCTTGGAAAGAACTTCAAATGCTGTTTCTGAAATGACACGACCTAATTGCATGCATGAAAGGATTTGCTCAGGAGTTTGTACCCATCAATTGGAAATCTCACTTTGCTGAACAGCAACCTTTAAGGGACGTGGGTGGCGCTGTGGGTTAAACCACAGAGCCTAGGGCTTGCCGATCAGAAGGTCGGCGGTTCAAATCCCCACGACGGGGTGAGCTCCCGTCGCTCGGTCCCTGATCCTGCCAACCTAGCAGTTCAAAAGCACATTAGAGTGCAAGTAGATAAATAGGTACCACTCCAGCGGGAAGGTAAACGGCGTTTCCGTGTGCTGCTCTGGTTCGCCAGAAGCGGCTTAGTCATGCTGGCCACATGACCCGGAAGCTGTACGCCGGCTCCCTTGGCCAATAAAGCAAGATGAGCGCTGCAACCCCAGAGTCGGCCACGACTGGACCTAATGGTCAGGGGTCCCTTTACCTTTATCTTTTAACCTTTGATTAAAAGAGTCTGTGCCTCACAAGAGAAGAAGGAGAGGGAAATCATGATCCATGCAGAGAAAATCCCACGGTTTAAGCAAAATTTAAAGCCTAGGTAGGCACTATCTTGTAGGAAACCACAATGAAAGGGTTAGTCATGAGATACAGCGAGTTAGTGGTTCATGTTGAACAAGGCGACCTTGAGAGTCAACCTTCCTCAGGTTAACTGACCTCACAGGGGCATTGTGAGAATTAGCGAACAAAGAAAGGGAACAAAGAACCCTGGCACTCCTTGGAGTTATAGTGGATTAAAAAATGAACGTAAGGAGAGGCTGCTGTATCAAGCCAATGGCCCATCTAGACCAGGACTCTGTTTGCAGAAGCCAAACAGATACCCGGGGAAAACCTGGAAAAAGGGATTCAAGCACGAGAGAACTGTCCCCTCCTGCGGTTTCCAGCCACATGCCTTTATATGCAATGACCATCATCGTTGTTCTAACATCGTTGTTCTAATCCAGAATGCGGCAGCTAGACTGGTGACTGGGGGCGGCCTCTGGGACCACATAACACCGGTCCTGAGAGATCTGCATTGGCTCCCAGTACGTTTCCGAGCACAATTCAAAGTGTTGGTGTTGGCCTTTAAAGCCCTAAACAGCCTCAGTCCTGTATTCCTGAAGGAGCGTCTCCACCCCCACCGTTCAGCCGGGACACTGAGGTCCAGCGCCGAGGGCCTTCTGGCGGTTCTCTCATTGCGAGAAGCAAAGCTACAGGGAACCAGGCAGAGGGCCTTCTCGGTAGTGGCGGCCACCCGGTGGAACGCCCTCCCTTCAGATGTGAAGGAAATAAGTAGCTATCTTCTCTTTAAAAGACATCTGAAGGCAGCCCTGTTTAGGGAAGTTTTTAATATTTAATGCTGTATTGTTTTTAACACTTGATTGGAAGCCGCCCAGAGTGGCTGGGGAAACTCAGCCAGATGGGCAGGGTATAAATAAATTATTATTATTATTATTATTATTATTATTATTATTATTATTATTTGGAGCCTAATTTTCTTAGGTGTGCATATACACAAGCATTCGCACCCACAGGAACAAGCTGCCACTGCAGTTTCCGTTAGACCGGGGCAGCAGAGAATGCAGATGATTTCGATCTGCCGCAGCCACTGCCATCCCCGCTTGCTAATCTGTCACATTTTGAAATGCCACAGGCACGCAAATGGCAAGTCGTGCACGATTTCCACCCTGCTGCATGACGCACTAGCTTCCCACGCCCATTTGGAACGGCAAAACCTGTCCCTGAGTCATTCGCCCAGCCAATACCTCCCCACCGAGTGGCCCGCCCCAATACAAGAAGGCTGCTTCAATTGCTTTGCCTGCCATTGTACAGTGGTACCTCGGGTTACAGACGCTTCAGGCTACAGACTCCGCTAACCCAGAAATACCACCTTGGGTTAAGAACTTTGCTTCAGGATGAGAACAGAAATCGTGCGGCGGCAGCGGGAGACCCCATTAGCTAAAGTGGTACCTCAGGTTAAGAACAGTTTCAGGTTAAGAACGGACCTCCGGAACGAAATAAATACTTAACACGAGGTACCACTGTATTTTGATTTATAGTTGTGGCAGGCGAATTCAGCCACTAGTTGCTTAATTTTGGGGTTTGTTGTTGCATTTCATTCACTTATTGTGTAAAGTGCTGTGATTAATAATGAAAAATAAAATAAAAATAACACTTTGAAAGCACTATCATACCCCTTTAAACAGTCATGGCTTCACCCAAAGAATCCTGGGAACTGTTGTGTGTTGTTGTTGTTGTTGTTAATCGAGTTTATATACCGCCCTATACCCGGAGGTCTCAGGGCGGTTCACAGACAAAATCACAACATATATAATCAGAATAAAAACAACAACCCAATAACATCCCCCCAGAAAAGGGGGTATAGGATTTTAAAAGGGTATAGGTTGTCAAACAGATCAACCAAAGGCCTAGTTAGAAAGGAACGTTTTTGCCTGGCGCCTAAAGGTGTATAACGAAGGTACCAGGCAAACCAGCATTCCACAGACACGGGGAGCCACTGCAGAGAAGGCCCCTTCTCTTGTTGCCACCCTCCAGACCTCTCGAGGAGGAGGCACACGAAGGAGGGCCTCAGAAGATGATCTCAGGGTCTGGGTAGGTTCATATGGGAAGAGGCGGTCCTTGGGCTATTGTGGTCCTGAGCCGTTTCAGGCTTTAGACAGTGGTACCTCGGGTTAAGTACTTAATTCGTTCCGGAGGTCCGTTCTTAACCTGAAACTGTTCTTAACCTGAAGCACCACTTTAGCTAATGGGGCCTCCTGCTGCCGCGGCACCGCAGGAGCACGATTTCTGTTCTTATCCTGAAGCAAAGTTCTTAACCCAAGGTACTATTTCTGGGTTAGCGGAGTCTGTAACCTGAAGCGTATGTAACCTGAAGTGTCTGTAACCCGAGGTACCACTGTAGGTCAAAACCAGCACTTTGAATTGGGCCTCGAAATTCATTGGTAGCCAGTGCAGTCAGACCAGGATCAGTGTAACATGCTCAATCCGTATTGCTCCACTGAGTAACCTGGCTGCTGAATTCTGCACTAGCTGACGTTTCCGAACCGTCTTCAGAGGCAGCCCTGCATATAACGCATTGCAGTAATCTAACCTTGAAGTTACCAGAGCATAGACAACAGCAGTTAGGCTATCCCTGCTAAGGGTGCTATGAGTGCTTAAAAGTAAAGGTAAAGGGACCCCTGACCATTAGGTCCAGTCGTGACCGACTCTGGGGTTGCGGCGCTCATCTCGCTTTATTGGCCGAGGGAGCCGGCGTACAGCTTCCGGGTCATGTGGCCAGCATGACTAAGCCGCTTCTGGTGAATCAGAGCAGCGCACGGAAACACCGTTTACCTTCCCGCCGGAGCGGTACCTATTTATCTACTTGTACTTTGACGTGCTTTCGAACTGCTAGGTTGCCAGGAGCTGGGACCGAGCAACGGGAGCTCACCCCGTCGTGGGGATTCGAACCGCCGATCTTCTGATCGGCAAGTTCTAGGCTCTGTGGTTTAACCCACAGCGCCACCCGCGTCCCAGTACTTAGGGGGCTACTATTCCCCTCACCGAGCTACAAATCTCTCTTCCCAGGGGGCTCTGGGAATTTTAGCTCTGTGAGGGGAACAGGAGTCTCCAAGCATCAGTCGGCAACCTTAACCAACTACAGTTTCCAGGACTCTTTGGGGAAAGCCATGGTTGTTTAAAGTGGAATGATGATGCTCTTAATGGACAGTGTATAAGGGGTTTCAAACACAGAAGCTGCCGTTTCTCTTCCTGCTGCCCTCCTTCACCCAACTCATACATTCCGTGCTTGGTATTTGTTTCAGGGCCACCCCAAAATCCACATTCCCTCCTCACCTTTCACATTGCACTTGAAGGTCTGGCTCACGACTCCCGTGTTGTTTTCTTTCTCTGCCGGCCATTCATATACATAGACAGTCGTCCGAGATGATCCTGCATCGAGCACTATGCCGTACTTGGTGGTGGGAGGGGGGGAGAGAGAAAGTTATAGATTAGAAGACGAGCATGGTTTCTTGTTGGAAACAATCAAAGAAAATACAAGCGTTAGAAAAGTAGCCCAAGTCCCTAAGAGACACTTTTTGTATTAAGCTAGAGTGATTCCTTCCTTCCTTCCTTCCTTCCTTCCTTCCTTCCTTCCTTCCTTCCTTTTTCTCTTTCTTTCTTTCTTTCTTTCTTTCTTTCTTCTCCTTTTCTTTGAACAGCTGTTTCCCTATGGGCCGGCTCTACCATTGGACAGAGTGATGAAGCCACCTCAGGCGGCAGATGCCATGGGGCGGCAACAGTCTCTCCTGCCTCCAACCCCTCTCCCTGGCCATTCCCATTCTCCTGAGCTTGCTTCTCCTACCTGTTTCTTCCCACTCGCAGTTGAGAGATGGAAGGATAATACTGTGGGCATGTCCTAACTGGTAGGGCAAGTAGGCAGCTACACCCATCGGGTCCCAATCCTGCCTCGAGGAAAACAGACGCAGCCAAGATATGTTTCTTCAAGAGAAGCTTTCAAGTGGGAAGCCTTCAGCCTTTGGGCATGTAACTGTCCAGAGATCTTCTTAATAAGGATCTCACCCTCTTATGTAATTACTGCCCTTAAATCCCGCTGTGCTGGCAAAGGGAGCTCTTGTTGGTTGGCATGTTATGCTCTGGGTTTTAATACAGGGGATCGCAAGCTTTTTGTTGAGCAGTCCTTTCCTTTAATTGGGGTAGCGGGGTGCTGTCAGCGGCTCCCGGCTGGTTGCCCAGGAAAGTATAAAGCAGGCATAGACAAACTCAGCCCTCCAGATGTTTTGGGACTACAACTCCCATCATCCCTAGCTAACAGGACCAGTGGTCAGGGACGATGGGAACTGTAGTTCCAAAACACCTGGAGGGCCAATTTTGCCTATGCCTGGTATAAAGACTTGGAAAAGTTTATTACAGTCCTTTTTTGTTTCAGTCTTTACAGAAAAAGAACCCAGCCTCTTTCCCAACCAGTCCTGAGTGACTCTCCACCCCACCCTCATCCCGTCCCTCCCACTTCCTCATTTAAAGCCATGATTGGCTGGCTCTTGGGTCCATTCTGAAGCCACATCCGACTCCCATTTAGATAGCCCACCTGAAGCAAGGGGGCGGCAAGGAGACAACACCAGGTCTGGGGGCTGAGTACCGTATTTTTTGCGCCATAACACTCACTTTTTTCCTCCTAGAAAGTAAGGGGAAATGTCTGTGCGTGTTATGGAGCGAATGCCTGTGGGTGGCGGTGGGGATCTGCTGCAGCCATGAGCAGAAGATCCATGGTTCCCCTTCCTTCCCTCCTCCGTGGTTACAAAGCATGGATCCACATGGATCCTCAGGATTTTTGCATTGGGCTACTCCAAACTCAGATCACTGTCAGATCACATGTCTGTGGCCACAGCACGAACCACAAAAATCATATATCCACTATTTCGTTTAGAATATTTTTTTTCTTGTTTTCCTCCTCTAAAAACTACGTGCGTGTTATGGTCTGGTGCGTGTTATAGAGCGAAAAATACGGTATGTCTCTTTTGTGGAACAAACTTTGGGTGAGGGAAAGCAGAGGAGCACTTATTTGAATATACATGTCCAAAGGAACTTGAGGTTTGATATTCCAAGATGTCTTTGTCCTGGATCTTAGTTTATTTCCCTTATTATCATACAGATTCTACCTGAAGAGGTTTTTCTATGTTAACAGTGATTAGCTTCTAGAAAGAGAGGAAGGAAGACCTGCAAGGCACCCTTTTTCTAATTGCAGGCGCTTGCAATCGAGCTGTGCTTACTTTCTGGTGCTGGAAAACTCTTTCCACATGCTCAGAAGCCCTCTTGACTATCATTACATCACCGGTTCAGCAGCTGAGCCCCAGCCACCCAAACTAAGCAATGGATACTGCAGCATATTCATTCAACATACCTTCAGCCCTGGCAAAAGGACCTCTTTCCGATTCACTTGGACCAGAGTAATAGCAACAATAATTGCTATGCTTAAAAGCAGAAAGACAAAAGTGACTATGGTTGACATTTTGTACAGTACTCGGGAACCTAAAAAATAAGAAGGGGGTGGGGACTGATATCATGAATTTGTCAGGGTTAACGTTATTATTTTTCACTGCACTGTAACCTAAGAATTCCAGGTTCTACATTTGCTCGGAATGAGGAACTCTGTTCATCTGAGTGAACCCAGAATATATATATAGGATAAACGTATGAAAACCCATTAGAAGCCTTTGATGTTTGGAACGAGCTAGAAAAGTACAGTGGTACCTTGATTCTCAAACTTAAGTCCATTCCAAAACCAAAGTGTTCCCAAAACCAAGGCACACTTTCCCATAGAAAGTAATGCAAAACAGATTAATCCGTTCCAGACTTTTAAAAACAACCCCTAAAACATCAATTTAACATGAATTTTACTCTCTAACCAGACCATTGATACATAAAATGAAAGCAATAATCAATGTACTCTACTATAAAATAAATAAGACAGTATTGTAGATGATAAAAATTATCACCCACACAGTCACAAAAACAAATTAACCGAAAAAGCCTCAAAAACAAAAACGCAAAATAAATAGCAAAAACAAAAGTGCCAAACTTAAACCATTCTGGAAGTCCATTTGACTTCCGAAATGTTCGAAAACCAAGGCGCAGCTTCTGATTGGTGCAGGCACTCCAGAAACAATAGCTGACAACTGCATTGGACGTTCAGCTTCCGAAAAACTTTCAAAAACCGGAACACTTACTTCCGTGTTTTGGGCGTTTGGGAACCGAGGCGTTTGAGAACCAAGGTACCACTGTAGATGTATTTTCATTGACTGGTCTTGGTAGAATGACCCTCCTACCCCCCACCTCCAAACAGAGCTCTTGTGCTTTTCACAACTGCATAACAGACAGAAATTCAACAGGTACAGTAGAAGCCGATTCATAGGCATTATGGAACATACAAAGAGCCTTGTTTCCAGCCTCTGGTATTCAGAGGCATACTAGAAATAATTCTTAGCCTATTCTTAACTACTCTCTATTGTGAAAACCAGAAATATTGCGCAGGCGTAGCCAAGACCGGCTTGCCTAACTCCTACACTTATTCAGGACTTACACTTATTAGGAAACCCAACAGGATTTTGTGCTTAAAGACCAGGGAGGAGGAACGGGGAGGATACTGATAACTGAGATGTAGGACGTTACCATTTCCAATTCCCTTCTTTGCTTAGGGGTGATTCATCATCTCATCACAACCCAGTGGAAACAGAATTAGCAACACTTCCTTACCTTAAAGGCTTGTTGCATAAATTGATCTCTTAAAGCACGGGAGGTGCACGGCTGACAATGTTCCTTTAGCTAGCAAAGGAAGGATTAATCATGCCTTTTTTTCGGTTGCCTAGTTATCTTCAAAAGGTGTACATTTTAAAGGGTGTTTTTTCTTAAAACTATTGCACGTAAACAGGCAAATGTGCACTTCTTAAGCATCTTCTTCCCTAGAACTGACAATTATTGTTTAAGCTGGTTTTGGATCTCCCTGCTTTGGTTAGTCTAGGTGAACGTAAAGGGACCCCTGACCATTAGGTCCAGTCGTGACTGACTCTGGGGTTGCGGCACTCATCTCGCTTTATTGGCCGAGGGAGCCGGCGTACAGCTTCCGGGTCATGTGGCCAGCATGACTAAGCCGCTTCTGGCGAACCAGAGCAGCGCACGAAAACGCAGTTTACCCTTCCGCCGGAGTGGTACCTATTTATCTACTTGCACTTTGACGTGCTTTCGAACAGCTAGGTTGGCAGGAAACAGGGACTGAGCAATGGGAGCTCACCCCGCCGCTGGGATTCGAACCGCCGACCTTCTGATCGGCAAGTCCTAGGTTCCGTGGTTTAACCCACAGCGCCACCCACGTCCCTACTAGTTGGTTACTCTAGGAAATGCTAAATATAGCAACAAGAAAAGTAGGAATGGACTCTCAATGTCAAAATGTTCTCAGTGCTACCAGAGAAGAAGAGAGGGCAAGCATCCAGGAATCTAAGGCAGCCTTGGGAGAGTTTGTCATGCAAATGAACTGTCCTTGAAACATTTGTCATTGAATTCAGCATCTGCCAGTAGTTGCATACCAGTATTTTACATAAAACCAGACCCATCCAGCAAATCATCTGGCAGATACACACCTCATGACCTTGTGTCAGCTGAATGTTTTATTGCATAGTAATTGGCTGTCAGGAGGTTCGTAAGGCAGGAGTGAAACACAGGGCAGTGTTGAAGCCTCAATTTAAACCAAACAAGGCCATTGTCTGCCAATGCCTAAAGGGAAAGAGAGCAACCTTTAACTCCAGGTGGGCTAAACTGTGGTTTTGGTTGTCCTCTAGACGTTTTGGATTCCCATTAGCCCCAGGCAAGATGGCCGCTGCTGAGGAATGATGGGTATTGGGGTCCAAAACATCTGAAAAGGCTTCCGGTTCCCCATCACCGCTTTACCCAATCGTGTACACATGTGCTCACAAGTAAGCCCCATTGAATTCATTGGGGCTTTCTCTCAGGCAGATGTGCAAAGGCTTTACGGCTTCAAGAAGTCATTGACGTTACGCCTGGAGTGAATGCAGTCCAATATTTAGGCATGGTTGTAGGGATGTGAGCAGAATTTGGCTCGATTTAGATGAATAACTTCATCTAGGTAAAAGGTAAAGGACCCCTGGACGGTTAAGTCCAGTCAAAGGCAACTATGGGGTTGCTCACCTCGCTTTCAGGCCAAGGGAGCCGGTGTTTGTCCACAGACAGCTTTCTGGGTCACGTGGCCGGCATGACTAAACCGCTTCTGGCGCAACAGAACACCGTGACGGAAACCAGAGCGCACGGAAACACCGTTTACCTTCCCAACGCAGCGGTACCTATTTATCTACTTGCACAGGCGTGCTTTCAAACTGCTAGGTTGGCAGGAGCTAGGACTGAGCAACGGGAGCTCACCCCGTCACGGGGATTCGAACCGCCGACCTTCCAATCGGCAAGCCCAAGAGGCTCAGTGGTTTAGACCACAGTGCCACCCGCAAATAACTCCATCTATCCTGAGAGTGCAGGGTGGAAGATAATATTTTGGAAGCAACATCAACAGGACCCTTAGATGTAAAACAATAAAAAAAGAAGGGGCTGTCTTAAACTGAGAAGGCCTTATGTCAACACACCACCTCAGTCCTAGTCACCAAAAGTGAGCCCAGAGAAGGATGTCTTGCAAACAAGAAAGTCTTCCCCAATACATGTAGACATGTACATAACCCCTTGCTATGCCACCTAGGGGACTAGGAAGGACACATTTGTAAACTGGAAGAGAGTTGGTTCTTTTTAGCTGTCGGTTGTCTCAAATAACTAAACAACAAGTAAAAAGAAAAAAATGTGGGCTGGTAACTTTTTGGGTGCAGGTGGTGCTGTGGGTTAAACCACAGAGCCTAGGACTTGCCGATCAGAAGGTTGGCGGTTCAAATCCCCGTGACGGGGTGAGCTCCCGTTGTTCGGTCCCTGCTCCTGCCAACCTAGCAGTTCGAAAGCATGTCAAAGTGCAAGTAGATAAATAGGTACCACTCCGGCAGGAAGGTAAACGGCGTTTACGTGCGCTGCTCTGGTTCGCCAGAAGCAGCTTAGTCATGCTGGCCATATGACCCGGAAGTTGTCTGCGGACAAACGCCGGCTCCCTCGGCCTATAGAGCGAGATGAGCTCGCAACCCGAGAGTCGGTCACAACTGGACCTAATGGTCAGGGGTCCCTTTACCTTTACCTTAACTTTTTGGAATTAATTTCAAGGCGGCTCTAGCACAAACTAAAGCGAGTCCCTAGGGGATGAAACCTGCAAACAGGAGGACATTTCTGTCATTGTCCTCACACAGGTGGAAGAATTAAGAGGGTATCCCTAGCAGATCGGAGGGATGTAGGGGAGGCGGCAGAATCCAGCTTGCTAATGTTTTCAGCCATCAGTCTTATTTCACAGAAGGTAGAGGAAAAGCCAACAGCTACATTTAAAAAAAACCCCAGAAAGAAATCCCAAACAGCTTTTGTGTTTCGCTTTTAGAACAGTATCGTTCTGGAGCAAGGGATAAAATAAATACATTCAATTCCCACGCCCTAATTCAAGTTAACAGACCACACAGGACTATTTGTTTCCAATAACTTACTGAAGATGAAAACATGAAGTCTGCTCAGCAGCTAACTCTCTCCATCACACCAGAATGTGTGTGCAGCCGGCCAGAAGAGGACTTTGGAACAGCAGTCGAGGGCTCCACGCAGATAGATGGGCTCCCAATGCGGCAGGAGCTGGTTTTCATGACATTTTGCAAAAATCGAAGTCATAACGCTGTGCTGTCTAAAGCCCACCCCGTCCCACATGACCATTAATTCAGTCCAAAGTCTAAAATCACCTTAACTGCAGCACTGCCCTGAACATACATGATAGCTATAGGTACATTAGGAAATGAACAATCATTTCCTAACATACCTATGGCTATAAAGTATTATATACATGGCAACCAACCCATCTTGGCATGTTGCCACGGCAACCGGCCACAAGTACTGACCTGTATGTTCACAGGATTGTCGGGACAGCGCAGTAAACATCTCTTTTTTGTTCAAGCTACACAGCAAGAGAAACAGAATATTCAGCGTGAGGTTGGGTTTATGAAAAACAAGTAAGGAGCTGGGGGGGGAGGGAATTATTGCAGGCCCATGACTGCAAAAGGAGTTATTTCTTCCCAGAGACTGAGAAGGTGAGAAAGTGCTTTGCAGGCACAGAGGAGAAGGGGGACAGCTATTGATCTGAGGGGTTGGCGAAATCACAGCATGGCAACATCAAAATAGGTGGGATTCTCTGCCAGAAAATGTCAGGGTCCTGGTCTGTGCATGCCCTACAGTGTATGGATTTCAGGTAGACAAAAAAAGCAGCAGCTCCCTCACACAGAAAAGGACTTCTTAATTTCTCAAACAGAGGCAGGGAAGCAGGTAGGAAAACAGTAGCCCTACGGGAATGGGCTTAGGAAAGGGATAGCTAAGGTGAGGCATTTTGAACTATAGTTCTTCATCGTCCCCGACCGTTGGCCTGGGGCTGGGGCTGATTCCAAACTTCTGGAGGGCACTGAATTGGCTGTGTGAAAGAGAGAGAGAAGGAAGGAAGGAAGGAAGGAAGGAAGGAAGGAAATAACACCAAGCAGAAGTTGCACACCTGTATGAGGCAGAATAATATTATGATAACAATTTATTATTTATACCCCGCTCATCTGGCTGGGCTTCCCCAGCCACTCTGGGTGGCTTCCAACAAAATATAGAGATACATTGTTTGTGTTTTCCTGCATGTGTAAGTTGGTGTGTGTTTATTATAGAGAAGGACAAAGCTTTCCAACTGCACATATTATGGGAATCTTTTCAGATGAGAGGACGTGAGCCTGAAACAGCACGGGACAGGCAGCGTGCCTGCCGGAAATATCTCTGTGGATGTGAAAGAGAGAAAGTGCATGATGTGGGGACTGCCTCTGTGTGTGTGTGTGTGTGTGTGAGAGAGAGAGAGAGAGAGAGAGAGAGAGAAACATAGGAGGGGTGTGTGCATGAGAGAGGGAGGGAGGAAGAGAAAGTGCACACTCTCAAAAGCCAAAGCCATAGACATGAAATTGCTTAAATGTAGCCTCAGGCAGCAGCCACAGTACATAGGCATCTTCCGTGAGGCATTAGACCAGGCATAGGCAAATTCGGCCCTCAGATGTTTTGGGACTACAACTCCCATCATCCCTAGCTAACAGGACCAGCGGTCAGGGATGATGAAAGCTGTAGTCCCAAAACATCTGGAGGGCCGAGTTTACCTATGCCTGCATCAGACCTTTTGGGAAGCAAGGCCTGCAAGATTCCATATACAGTGGTACCTCGGGTTACATACGCTTCAGGTTACATACACTTCCGGTTACAGACTCCGCTAACCCAGAAATAGTACCTCGGGTTAAGAACTTTGCTTCAGGATGAGAACAGAAATCGTGCTCCGGCGGCGCAGCGGCAGCGGGAGGCCCCATTAGCTAAAGTGGTGCTTCAGGTTAAGAACAGTTTCAGGTTAAGAACAAACCTCCGGAACGAATTCAGTACTTAACCCGAGGTACCACTGTACATGGCTCAGTACCCACCCCCCCACACACACACGCACAAAAAAAGGAAAGGAAAGGAAATCTCTATTTTTAAAAACATATCTAGTTGTTGCTCATTGCCATCTGTAAGCACCATGCTTTCTAAAGAAAGATGCAGCGTCTGTCCAAGCTGAAAAAACCAAAGACCGCGACTTTGCATTCAGGGAAAAGCACCAAACCAATCTCAGCTCCGAACACACGTTTAAAATGTTGCCAACGCTCCACCTTCCTAAGGCGCATTCGCTGCGTGGTCCGGTCGATTGCTAGCCTCTGTCTCCATGTCCTTGGGCAAGCGGCACTCAACCATCCATACACGAAGGCTTTCCCTAGGTCAAGCCTCAGCCAGCCTGGTGCCCGCACCCCCACCCCGGAAGCTTTGAACCCCAACATCCACCATCGGCCCCATCGGTTCCAAACATCTGGGGGGCGCCAAGTTGGGGCAGCCCGCTGTGGAGCTCCAAACTCCAGGACCCTCTGTGTTCGCACACCCAGGAACACAGGCACACCAACACATCCCACCCAGCAGAATCTCCCCAGCCAGATCTTCTCTCCACAGGTCAAAAAGCAACACCCCCCCCCCCCGCGATCCTCAGAGTGCAGCTCTTTGCAAATCGCCTGCAAGCCATCGGAAGGGAGATGCAACCTTGCGGGCAGCCGGGTTGCTGCGCTCTCCTCTCTCCAGCTGCGTAACGATTACGCGCGGAGAAGAACCCTTGCCATTCTAACCCGAAGGGAAACCCAAACGCGCGAGCGCACGATCCCTTGCGCCCCGATGCCTTTTACCTTCCACTGCGGCAGCAGCCGAGATGGGGAAAAGCAGCTTCCTCCGAGTGGATCCTTCTCCTTATATCCCACGCGGGGGGTAGGACAGCAGCCGCCTGGGTGGGGGACCGGGACGCCTCATCGCCCTGTCAGCCGGGCAGCGATGCCCCACGGCAGCGGCGTTGATGGGGCCAGAATGGATGGAGATGGAGGAGGAGACAGAGGAGGGTGACGCCGCTGTAGCCCGGCAGGTTCTTCCTCCCTCCCGCGGCGTCCGAGGAGGAAAGCTCCGGGAAGCTCCCGCGGGCTCCGCCTCTCCGCCGGGAATGGCAAGAGGGCAGGCAGAGCTGGGAGGAAGGGCACCAGCCGGCCACCAGGCCACCCGCTTGCTGCCAGGCGAGCGCTTCTTTGCAACCCCCCTTCCGCAGGCTTCCAAAGGGTTGTGTTTTTGTTTTTTGGAGATTTTTTTTAAAAAAATAATATTAAAGATTTCTTCGTTTACAAAAATACATGCATGGTCTCTTTTTTTCAAGCTGCGTTTTCTACAGATCAGTTTCATTTATTGTTGGCATTAGTGTTACATACAGAGTTAGGTTAGGAAGAAAAGAGGGGGAGGGGAATGGCGAGTGGGGTGGGGTGGCGATGCTTCTATCCTTCTACTGAGTGTATGTGCGGGGTTTTGTGTCAGCGTCACTTGTGCAGGTTCTCTTAGGTAAAGATAAAGGGACCCCTGACCATTAGGTGCAGTCATGGCTGACTCTGGGGTTGCGGTGCTCATCTCACTTTATTGGCCGAGGGAGCCGGCGTACAGCTTCCGGGCCATGTGGGCAGCATGACTAAGCCGCTTCTGGCGAACCAGAGCAGCGCACGGAAACGCCGTTTACCTTCCTGCTGCAGCGGTACCTATTTATCTACTTGCACTTTGATGTGCTTTCGAACTGTTAGGTTGGCAGGAGCAGGGACCAAGCAATGGGAGCTCACACCGTTGCGGGGATTCGAACTGCCAACCTTCTGATTGGCAAGTCCTAGGCTCTGTGGTTTAACCCACAGCGCCACCCACGTCCCTAAGGTTGTCTTAGATGGTATTTAACACCAGTGAGATTAAATCAAATAAACATTCAGCGTTCTGTTGGAGGGGACACATGTGGTGGGGGTGTAAAAATGTACAGGTGTGGGTTTTTTGTTGTTGTTGTTTTTTTGAGATGACAGAAATCACTGGGTCGAAGCTGACCGAAAGTCCTGAGGCAGCATTGTTATTGATTTACAATGGGGGGGGGGGAGGTTCACAGCCTATGAAGGACTTGCTCACAAATTTATCAACTTGTAATCATAGCTAGGAAGTGGAAGGGGCAAGGGGAACATCAAATGGAGGAATGGCATAAAGAGGTGTGGGGTATAGCTGTTAATGATAAATTGATGTGCCCTATTGAGATAAGACGGGGAACATGCAGGAGGAATGGTTTTGAGGAGACATGGAAGGTATTGGTAGAATTTGTACTGTTAGAACGGAAAGAGGTCAAAGCATTGCAAGAGGTGTTGGAATTCCGGGAGGTTGGATAGTTATAATGGAATGGTCTTGGTGGTGGAGTGCACATTTTTATATTTATTTATTATTATTGTCAAAACAAAACAAAAAGATGATGATGATGATGATAATGGGTCGTCTTTGTCCCCCAGTCTGGGTCTGCACCTGAGAAAAAGAGTCCATCTCCTCTGCTGGCCTCTGAGGTTTTCAGGAAATGAGTCGCCGGGTTTTTCTTCTCCTTCTTCTTCTTGCTTGGAGGACTGGAAATCACCTCGTTGCACACAGACCTGCTCTAACTAAGGGATGGGGAGCTAGCAGAAGTTAAGGCTGCAATGCTATCCTAGGCATCAGGGGTGGCAGCTGGAATAAAATCAGGGGTATTACCGCGTAATCAGTAAGAAGACACGGCACACACAAATCATTTGAATGACAATGCCCATCAACTGGGGGGCAGCCCGCTCAAATGCTGCAGGGGGCCCCAAAGGGACCTCAGCCTCCAGGAATTGGCTCCTATGACTCTAAGTCATAGGTAGGCAAACTAAGGCCTGGGGGCTGCATCTGGCCCAATCACCTTCTCAATCCAGCCTGTGGACAGTCTGGGAATCAGCGTGTTTTTACATGAGTAGAATATGCCCTTTTATTTAAAATGCATCTCTGGGTTATTTGTGGGGCATAGGAATTCATTAATTTTTTCCTTCAAAATATAGTCCGGCCCCCCACAAGGTCTGAGGGACAGTGGACCGGCCCCCTGCTGAAAAAGTTTGCTGACCCCTGCTCTAAGTCATCGTTGTAGCGCCCCCTGGTGAGCCCTCTCGGCTCGGCATTCAGTGCAGGCAAAACGCTCACATTTCCCTAGATCATGGGATTGTAGAGTTGGAAGAGACCATGAAAGTCATCCTGTCCAACTACTTGTAAGGCAGGGATCTTTTGCTCAGCGTAGGACTTGAACCCACAACCCTGAGATTAAGAGTCTCATGGTCTACCAAAAGAGCCACCTCTGTAAGGCCCATTCCACTCAGTGGGCCTTACTGGGTAAATATGGCAAGGATTGGGCTCTTGGTGAGACAGGTCCTCCTGCCTTTGCCTCTGTCCACACATGGTATTTTCTTCACCCAGGGGTACGAGGGAGTCCAAGCACGAAGGGAAGATTAGAGGGTGGAAAATGTGACACTTCTGGAATCCAAGTGTGCAAGGAGGTTGCTTGCTTTGAATACATGGACCTCAAAGCCTAGCAGATGTGGGATGCAGAGTCAGTTTAGGCTGCAATCCTGCACCTGCTTAAAACAACAACAAAAAAAAGGAATTTGTGGCATTTGACGGCATTCTAGTGCAATATTGCAATGGGCAACTACTAATGTCCTGCATGCCAAATCCTAGCAAGAGAGAATCACCGGTTGTAGTGGTTAAGAGCGATAGACTCCTAATCTGGGGAACTGGGTTCACGTCTCCGCTCCTCCACATGCAGCTGCTGGGTGACCTTGGGCTAGTCACACTTCTCTGAAGTCTCTCAGCCTCACTCACCTAACAGAGTGTTTGTTGTGGAGGAGGAAGGGAAAGGAGAATGTTAGCCGATTTGAGACTCCTTCGGGTAGTGATAAAGTGGGATATTAAATCCAAACTCTTCTTCTTCAACTTTTACATCCTCTCATATCACAAAATAAGAGTTGAGCTGGATCAAAGGCCAGCCCCCTCAAATATTTTATTGGCTCCTATGATTGATTGATTGATAGATAAAATATTGAGTATAACCATATTGTCCAAACTAACAAAGGCAACAAAAGGGCCAGCTAAAACAGATTCTCTCTGTTCTCTTCCTCTCCCATCAGAAACCTTTCCCTGGAAATGAGAAGGGTGAAACGAATGCCGCACATCATCAGGCTTCCCTGTTATTTCTGGATTTTCCAGAAGCGATCCAGGAAGGGCAGAACGGTTGCTAAGCAATGCTTGCTTGTGGTTTCTCCACTTCCTACTTTACTAGCTGCTGCCGTGCGGACGAGAGAAAGGAACGACAGAGGAACCCCCTCCCGCTCACTATCAGCGCAAGGATGTGGGAGGAAGATTCATCAGGATTCAAGAACACAGATTGAACGAAGTCGCCTACTTCTCTGGCATCGCTGGTGGCTGATCGTGTTGTTGTCCGTTGCCAAGAGAATAATGGACACAAAGAAGCCTAGCGTTAACACACAGCATCCTTGGGCAAATGTGGGGGTGCCAAGGCCCCACCACAGTGCCAACACCTGTCCTGGACTCCTTAATCATAGCAGCTTGGAGCTGGTATTTTTTAATTTCCCAGAATGCCCTGAAGCATGCTGATAAATTTAACTTTATCAGTTTCAGGCAGCCCAGTGCTTATTGCAGCGATGACACTAGCTTTCTTCTTTTTTGGCGATCATTCGTAGCCGAGTAAGATTGTCTTCCATGAACTTGGTCTTAACAGTGAGCACAATTTGATGCATGTGTTCTGGGATATAAGGGCTGCTGGGTTCAATGAGGCTTGCTCCCAGGTAAATGTGTCTAGGATCGCATGCTCACTCATCTCCAAAAGATTCAGCAGAACATTATTTAAAACTGCCAAGTATGTTTCTCCTCATGTTTCTCCTCTTTGGCAATCGCTCGTAGCCAAGTAAGATTGTCTTCCATGAACATGGTTTTAACAGTGAGTCCGTAAGTGACTGTGGAGGCCAATTCTGGATCCACACATCCTTCCGCAGTGGGGACGTAGAGTTGATCACGGTGAGGGTTTCTCAAGTGTGCCTTCCTCTTAGCATGTTTCTTGCGTCCTGAGTTCGAACGTCTTCAAAACCCATTACACCTTTGGTAAAGAGGCTGTTCTCCAATTGGGGCGCTCGCAGGCCAGTGTTTCCCAATTGTTGGTGTGTATACCACATTTTTTAAAAAGATTTGCCTTGCGAGAGTCTTTAAACCTCTTTTGTTGACCACCGGCATTGCACTTTCCATTTTTAAGTTGGGAATAGAGTAGTTGCTTTGGAAGACGATAATCAGGCATCCGAACATGACCAGTCCAACAAAGTTGATGTTGAAGAATCACTGCTTTGACACTGATTATCTTTGCTTCTTCCAGTACACTGGCATTAGTTCACCTGTCTTCCCAAGTGATGTGTAATAATTTTCAGAGACACCATTGATGGAATCTTTCGAGGAGTTGGAGATGGTGTTTATAAGTGGTCCACGTTTCACAAGCATACTGAAATATACTCGGAGTCCTGTAGTGATTTCATGCTCTTTATTGCAGCTTTTAAAACAGTGATTGAATTGGCCCCCCAACCTCAGGCTTTTATATACATTATTTACACAATGAGTCCCGTCTGATTGGCTGATTCTGCTTCCCTCCTGCAGCCTGAATGGTCTTTTCCTGCAGGACAATCAGTTGTTGCATTCTACGATCCTACCAGCCTAATAGGCTGATTAACTTCCTCCTGAAGCCTAATTGGTCTTTTCCTGCAAGCCAATCAGTTGTTGCATTCTAGGATCCTACTTGCCTATTGTTCTAGGATCCAAGGTTAGTACATAACACACACAGTAAAGTTGGTAGTACAATAGTTTTGTAAACAAGCATTTTGTTTCCCCTGTGAATGTCCCGGTCCTCAAACACTCTGCACTTCAGTTGGGAGAAAGCTGCACTTGTGGAGCTCAAGCGATGCTGGATTTCGGCATCGATGTCGGCCCTTGTGGAAAGATAACTGCCCAGGTAGGAGAAGTGATTGACACTTTCCAACGTTACACCACTGAGTTGGATTTGTGGCACTGCAAAAGGGTTGTTTTGTGAGAAGGAGAAGAACTGCAGCTGTGACAGTGGCTGACACTGTCAGTTTACCAGTAACGGCTGGTTCAGTGGTACCTCGGGTTAAGTACTTAATTCGTTCCGGAGGTCCATTCTTAACCTGAAACTGTTCTTAACCTGAAGCACCACTTTAGCTAATGGGGCCTCCTGCTGCTGCCGCGCCGCCGGAGCACGATTTCTGTTCTCATCCTGAAGCAAAGTTCTTAACCTGAAGCAATATTTCTGGGTTAGCGGAGTCTGAAACCTGAAGTGTATGTAACCTCAAGCGTATGTAACCCGAGGTACCACTGTATGGGCCTGGTAGGGGAGAATCCAGGGAGCCCACCACTAGGGGGAGCCAGAGCCAATGGCAGACAGAGCCAACTGAGCCTAGTCTTATTTTATTCATTTCATACAATTTATATACCGCTTAACTGCGGTGGGGAAACTCAAAGCTGTTTATGAAAAAGATAAAACCATAAAACGATCACTAAATTTTTTTTACAACCAGAATACACCGGACTAAAGCCATCTGCCATGGATGCTTCAATTGAGATTCCTGCATTGCAGGGGGGTTGGACTAGATGACCCTGGTGGATCCCTCCCAACTCTACAATTCTATGATTCTAAAAAAAAATTAAATCTCATGCAACTGAAAGCTATTCTCATTTTTTGAACCTTTCTGCCCGGTATGCTTTAAGCAACAGTTTAACAGCTCTAGTCTGTGTGATGTTTTGCCTTGTTTCCAGTACGTTTTCTCATTTGTGAGTTGTTGATACTGTTATTTTTTAATTGTTATTCGGCCATTTCTGTACATAAACTATAAACTGACCTTTCTCATTCTGAAAACTGCCCTGTGATCGTTGGATGAAGGGTGGTATAAAATAATAATAATAATAATAATAATAATAATAATAATAATAATGGTGACATACATGGTTTGCCCCCTCCTCATTTAATCCCCATAACAGCTCTGTGAGGTAGGTAGGTTAGGCTGAAAGGCAGAGACTGGCCCAAAGACACCCGATAATTGAGGATTTGAACCCCTGAGCCACCCAGGTACTAGTCCGTCACTTGAACCACCACTCCTCACTGCCTCTTTCTACAAACAAACTTTCTTTCTAAAAACTTTCTAGGTAGGTTTGTCTAAATGGGAATGCCTTCAGCAGACGCTGGAAAGAACACAGCGAAGACGCCTGCTTAATATCAAGAGGCAGGGCGTTCCAAAGTCTCGGCGACGCCACGCTAAATGATTTGATTTCTTAATTATTATTATTTTAACAGCTGCATGGTGGGTAGCCTGTGGTGTCTGTAAAAGTGCCGATTCCGCCGATTGGTCAAGCGAGTACCTATGGGGCAAGGGCATCTTAATCCCATCCTCCTCACCGCTGGGCAAACAAGCCTGGCAAGCTGTCAAACAGGGCCTACACCAGGGGTCAGCAGGGGGCCGGTTCACTGTCCCTCAGATCTTGTGGGGGCTGGACTATATTTTTTGGGGGGAGGGGATGAACGGATTCCTATGCCCCACAAATAACCCACAGATGCATTTTAAATAAAATTGTTGTTGTTGTTGTTGTTGTTATTTATACCCCGCCCATCTCGCTGGGCTTCCCCAGCCACTCTGGGCGGCTTCCCAAAAAATATTAAAATACTGTAATACATCAAACATTAAAAGCTTCCCTAAACAGGGCTGCCTTCAGATGTCTTCTAAAAGTCTGGTAGTTGTTGTTCTCTTTGACATCTGGTGGGAGGCTGTTCCACAGGGAGGGCGCCACTACCGAGAAGGCCCTCTGCCTAGTTCCCTGTAACTTGGCTTCTCGCAGTGAGGGAACCGCCAGAAGGCCCTCGGTGCTGGACCTCAGTGTCCAGGTAGAATGATGGGGGTGGAGGCGCTCCTTCAGATATAATGGATCGAGGCCGTTTAGGGCTTTAAAAGGGCACATTCTACTCATGTAAAAACATGCTGATTCCTGGACCGTCCGTGGGCTGGATTTAGAAGGCGATTGGGCCAGATCCGGCCCCCGGGCCTTACTTTGCCTACCCATGGCCTACACCCTCTGGACTGGTTCCTTGTCAGGAAGAAGACTGGCAGGTGAGGTGAGGTGAGGTGAAGGGCAGGCTGCGATTGGTGGGGCACTGTCCCTGTCTCCCCGTGGGGCAGCCTCCACTGCAGGTAAACCCATGGGGCCCCCAAGACAGGGGCCCCCTCAAACCTGGAGTCAACC